CATAATGTGTTTCCATAAGATGTACCTGCTGAAATCATGTAGTGTGAACAAACGACGTCACAACGAAATAAAGAAATTGGTAAAAAAAGTGAAGTTTCCAATTAAACCTAACAAAGCACCACAGCTAGTTTTTTCAGCTGATTTTTAGTGCTGGACGATGCGATAGTTTTGAGCCAGGAACTGCAACCGGCAAGGAAAAGTAGAGGGAATTATGGATATCAACAACTGCGAAGATCTGGTCTCGCTATCTAACTCATCCAAGAGTACCATCCAGTCAAAAACATATACACCCTTCACATCATCCACTTAGCACTCACCCAAAGCAAATATTGATTGCGATGTACGTGCTATCATAATTGCACACAATTCCTGCCAAGTTAATTCAGTCCACGACGCTCACCAGCCACTCAATTAATAAATAAAAAGATTTGTAGCTTTTGTATGAATTTAGAAGCAAATCAGCGTTGTTGGAATATGCTACGACAAACCTAAGTTTATTTGAACAAACGTATTATATGATGCAATTTTTCATACAGAAATGAAAAAGACGTGGTTATGGGGAGAAATGATACGATGAAGTGATTACAACTAGTGGCATCGCGGCTGAATTATTCTGAAGAATTTACCGTAGGCATAAGATGCTCGTCTACTAGTATTCAAAAAGAAGCGTAGGCGCTGGATGCACACATGCTGGTAATCAATCAATTTATCAGATACAACACAAAAATATAACAATTAATTCTTAGGCTTCTAACAAAATGTTATTTGCTGAATGTCAATTTTGGAATATAAAATCACAAGGCGCTCACCGTAACCTCAAGTTTTACTCCAATCCTCTCACTTGCCAATCTCCTTGATGGGGAAAGTGCCGGGGATGCCATTTTCATTGCGACCCGTTATGGTCGATGTATTGAGCACGGAGCTGATTGCTGAAGCGACTGTCCAGTGATGGATTGGGAGATGTGTTGTAATTGTTGGGGTTGTGGACTCAAACTATATCCTGGAAGAAGGGAGGAGAGGGCGGAATGCTTCTATGTTGTACTCCGCATTGAACTGCCAGCTTTTCATCTGCTGAGTTAATCACAAACACATTTTGTTATTTACGATCCTTTCCCAACAAATATATGAAACCGAAGCAGGGGAGTCAAAAAGTCTTCGAATATTATTTTCTTTTGCATTTTTACTGATATCCTGATATGTTCTGCTCGGTAATCACGTCCTTTTAATAAAAGTGTCGGAAGACAACTGAAAAGTCGGAAAAAAAGTAGAAGAGGAAATGTTATAACAGTAAAAACATATGCACTCTTACGTGTTTTTACATTAGCAAAATGCCAACGTAGGAAAAGCAAGCAGTAGCTGGTACAAAATTTTGCCATCGTGTATAATGCATAATCACTTATACTGCAAAAAGGGTTATTCTCAGTTTAGTCGTGATTTGCACAGTTTGAATGAGTTTATATCCAAAAAATATACTGGTTTAGGGAAAACAATGCAGTGTTTGAAGGTAAATTTCATATGCTGTCGTAATAAACTAATTTATGTTATTAGGTATAAATCCGTGTTTTCATGCTACTGACTCAATGAAATGGAATAGTCAGGACCGTTGGTTGACCATCTTGTTTAGAGTCCTGACTTCCAGGATTATTTATTATTATAGTGTTTCTAAGCTGATAATTGGGAGTTAAATAGTCGCCGTTGACATGTGGAACTCTGGAATGGGACATTTGATTTGGGTTTTCGGGAATTCATGGTTGAAGTTGGTTCCAGTCTATAAGATGAAAACTGATCCAAAGACCTTATTGTATGTTTTAGTATATTGCAGTATAGGCGCGGAGATAATGAAAAGTTTGTATTGCGTCCATGGGCTTTCCCCCAAGCAAAAAAGCTATCTATGAAAAGGTGGGTCTATACAAGTGAAGTAAGTACATAGTGTGACTCCTCTGATTATCTCACTTCCGTTTCTTTCGTTAACCTTACATCCGCATGTATATTATCTATAAAACATTGCAGTGATCTTTGCAATAAATGCAATATTATGCATTATTTATCGTTGTTTAGAAGGTATACACTGGGTTGTGAGGTATGGTCACTTATATTCATTTTTTTTATGTGTTCTTATATTTTTTTCTTTTTTTCAGAAAACATAGGAGCCATTGGTTGTCGAGTGAAAATTATTGCATGGGGAATAATCTGAGAGGAGGTTGGTCTCATTTTTGACTAGATTTCGTTGTTTTCTGAATTTTCTCAAATTAACTGTCTGATTTTCTGAAACGATCTAACACACACATATATTTATATATATATATATATATATATATACATGACTTGAGGCAGTTTAAAGACTGAATTAAAGTAGTAACTTTTTTATGCGTAGAGAGATTCATGAATAGACTCTTCCTATTTCTAAACATTTTCTGTTTTTCTAAGAACACTTTTTTCCAATTTTTTTTTTTCACTTGGAGCTATTTTGGAAAATAATGAGCTGCTTCATGATATCACTGTTGAAAAGCTATTTTTTCCGATAGTTACTTTATGCATGCATCAGTAATCTGTTACATATATGGGCGAAGGCCAGTTACACCAGTAGAAACCGTAAGAATTTTATACAAGTTTAACAACTGTTTTTAACCACATATTTTATTTATTTATTTTTTTCAAGAATATATAAAATTGAAATTTAGACCCATTTAGACCCAATCGTATTAAGCCATTTTTTGTTGCATTTCTAATGTGTTTATTAATTATGCAGGTACAAGGAGTTCTTCAAATATTTTTTTACCACAATATGTTGAGGAAAATAAGATAATTTCATCCTTATTGTCATTTTTATAAGCTAGAAGTTGAAGCAAATTTTCACTGTCGTATTTCTTTCTGAATTTCCCGATTCTTTTTTTCCAAATGGCCGGGTTTAAGACTAAAGTTACTAATTGTTACTAATTGAAAGATAGTTATCAAAGTTGTTAAAAACGTTGCAGTTATAATAGCGAAGTTGGGTGGAAATGGAAGCGAGATTTTCCATTGGTTTGCTTAGTTTCTTTTCTGTCTTGGCAAGAAAACTTATATTCTTAATACTCATACTTTGATGCACTCGAGTCACTACTAACTTTGGTGATGATAAGTAGAGACGTAGATTTTTGTGTCTATCGGTTTTTCAAAAAAAAAAAAACTAAATATATCGTTTTTGAAATTTTATCTAATAACTGCAACTCTTACAATAATCTTTCCCGACTTTCACGAGGATCTATTTTGTAGAAAGAATTTTCAGTGCTTATAGCGCAAATTGGGATACTAACAGCGATTGCAAGACTTTTCGTTGTAGATGTGGCATTTAATGTTGTAAAATTAGTTGGTCGTAGACCCGAGTCGTATTGTTTGTGAAAGTAATGGAGATCCTTCTTACAGACGTCTACTGAAGTTTTAAGCCTTTCTCTCACTGTACAATCCATTATTTCCGTATTCCCTTTATGGTTTTCCTTCAATATCTGTATTTATTTACTTTTTTTTATCATTTTTATCTGTCTGTCGTCAAAAGTAAGCAGGAAATAACATCAGGCTGTTCTAGAAGGTTTTTTTTTTTTTTGCTTGGAAACTGATTTACTTGATTATAGGTAACTGTCGCTAGTAAGCAAAGCTCAAGAAGGTGTGAAGTAGAGACCTTATTCATCATATTAGAAGAAATGTTATTTAAATATTTTTTGCTAACAGTCCTATTCTTTACTGTCGTTCTTATCCACTTTGTCATCGTTATCAGAGAAAGTAGGTCAGGTTGATGCAAGTTGTCAGAGTAGCAGAGGTGGTTGTGGGCGTTTGAGTGAAATAACAGAATGAGGAGTGCGTTCTCCTAGTGAACCACTTTCCTCATTTCGTTTTCTTTGTTGTCTTCATTGTTAGAAGTGTAAATCTCTCTAATAAAAGCTTTTCGTGCTGCTCAAAATGATCTAGAAGCTAATTGAAATGGGTCTCCCTGCTAACGTCGTCTCATTCAGTCCGTTTTTATGCCAGCTTAGCTTCTTTTTACTGAGGCTTATGTTTCTGTTTTTTTTTTTTGTTCTGTTTATGTACCGCTATTTATCTATTGCTGTAGCACTTATTTATTCCTGCATCAGTTGTATCAAACTTTAAGTGTATTGCTTTACTTGCATATGACTTAACATGTAATCAGTAGGTGGTATCACATCGACAGTAACTTTTCTGAAATCTCTTCAGAGGTTTTCCTAATTGTCTTTACAACGATATAGATTGAAGATAGAGTTGTCTCACTGAATGATAAACATTCCAGATTTGTCTGTTCTTTGAACATTCTTTGAATACGCTGATTTTGAAGTAATGTGTTAGCTTTCTATTTTATGGACTTTTCGTATCGTATAAAAATTTGCGGTTGCTAGGAGTTTTGAAAATCCTTATCGTGAAAGTCGATTATGTAATATGGTCATTGTTTTAGGCGTATTCGGAAAAAATAATTTTTATAATTTTGTTCTTGTCTAAATAATTAAGCAAATTCTAATTGCTCATCACTGGATATGTTCTAAGTGATAAGTGGCGAGAATGTTAGCAAACATACCCGTTGTCTTGTTTAAGTCCATTTAATTTAATTTTTTTTTCTTTTTTTTGAGAATTTAAAAAATTTAGGATTGGCGTAGAAATTAATCATTAAGAAACTTTTTTTAAGAACTACGTTGATTCAAGTCTGGCTTGAAGTTGACATATATATAGAACAAAGCATATTAAGCCATTTCCTTCTGAATTATCAGTAGTTATTCATTATAGTTTTATGAAATATATTTAATCTGTACATCTTTTTAAAATAGGGTGTTGCGACATTTCATGGAAAGAATGATGTTAAAACACTAGAAATTCCACTTGCAAAGTGGGAAACGGTTAGAATTGCATTTATTTATCATGGGAAGTAGTTTATTTTCGTGCTTATTTTCATCTCTCTTTGTGCGGGTAATATTTCTGTAAAGTGTTAAATCTCTTGCTACTTTTTTTTCGGAGCACAAATGACTTCTGATGGAGATAGTTTGCTTAAAAATGCATCCAGTGATACGATATCCAGTGCTGGATCATCTGAGATCGTTGTATCAGAATCATTAGACGATACGACTCCAAGTGAATCTAATGAATTTGGAGACTGTGGAACTTTGAAAAGACTCTTTAAAAAGAGTGCTGACATTCGAAATAAATTCAAAGGTGTGTCCTGTTGTACAATTCAGCAATCAGATCTCACATGTGTTTTCACTGTTTCTTCCTTGTTCGCTGGCACTTAACACATTCTGTTGTTGGAAGATCTACGAAACTTAATAGTTTCTACAAATGTATATTGAATTTACGAACTTACGAACTTGTTGGTCTATTATGTTAACTACGTTATTTTTTGTGGAAGATCTTGAGAGAAAGGTATTGTCTTCTTCAGCTTTCTTAAACTCGACATATGTGTGATAAAGGTTTGACTTCAAAATTGTGTTGCTTATAAGTTATTCTACTCTGCAGATTTCGGATGAAATATTTTCTGCGATTTTGGTATTTTCTATATGCAGTTTTATTTAGTGTTAGTATGTGAAATGAATAAAGGGACTGGATTTTTTTTACCAGAATATTCTTATGTATGCGACATATGTATCCTTATATACATTTCTTTCTGTTCCTGTACCAAATTTTTCGCTGTTGGAAAATGTTGCCAATAACCTCAAACATGATTGAGAGAGGTACGATTTGTGTTGTGGAAATAAGAGAAGTTAAGTTTAGGACTATGCTTTGAGGACTAGGTTAATAAGAATGATGTGGAGGATGGGATCGGAGGATTGACTTCCAGTAGCTGTTTTTTTATCCTAAATGCTCTGCCATATAAATACTTAGCGGATTGAGTGATGCTGTTATATTTGCTGTAATTACTCGTTGTGTATCTCATTTTCTGAATAATAAATTTCTTGTGTTATCATTAAAGTCCAAATTGTGAACAATGGTTTTCACACATCCACCATGTTGCTGAAGCTTATTTGCTGTTTGGTATTGTCGCAGGAGATATTTTCATACGCAGAAAAAGGACGTTATTTTTTTTTTTTGTGAGATTGTATATCATAAGATTTGGCTTGATTTGTAATGCTAGTATGCTCTCTAATGCAAGTATTTATCCCATCATGAGACGCAATCCTTGTTATGCAGGGTGACCATCGGTAGCTTTCAGATTATTGGACTATTGAGTTACGACAATTATCACGGCTTAGGAAAATTTTCATGAAATTGGAATTAGTTTCTTGTATTTTATAGCATATTCCAGTCAGAAATTTTGTTTACGAAATTCATATATTCAGTGAGGCGTTAAGCATTTTGAATATCCGTAGAACTAAAATATATTACAAAAAGCTAGGTGTTCGGTATACTGCACTTACATACAAGCAACTGATGTCTACTGTGTACGGGGAAGAGTTAAACTAAATATTTTACTTTCTACTGATTGCTTGAAAACCAATTTTAATTTTTTCTTTTCAGAATCAGTTCCTGATGACGGACTACAAATTGCGAATTACGATGAAAATACGGTGGTAAATCAGGGCACATCGGAATGGCCTCTGCCGCAGCTTACTTTTCACCATGTGCATGGTTCTAACATACAGATTTTACGAGGAGGACGAGTCGCGAGACGAAGGGAATCTTTCTGTAAAGGACTTGCATTCAGCAGTCGGTAAGTTTCCAACTATTCATTCACTAATTTTACGGAAAAACTCATAAGTTTAAGCTATGAACTCTTTACATGGTGTTGATTGTTATTTTCTAAAATTGACATGTTTAGCTCTAATAGAGTGGAAGTAGGAGGACGAAAAAAAGAATAATTTGTTTTCTAAAACACCTTTTTGTGTAAAAAATACCTCTTTTTTATATACAATACGTGGGGGCTTGTTTTCAAATCAAAATAATATCTTTTTTGAGATTTGCAAATTTTGTCATTTTAAAAATATTTCGTATGAAATTTCATATTCATGAGACTTTTTTCTTCATTTTTTTAAAATGTTTCAGCCAGTTTTTGTTCAGGATCAACAGTAATCGAATCTAGAAGTTTTGCAGACCGATACAAATAGATGAGAATGTTTGCATTCGATTTGCCGAAGTGGTTTCAAATTGGTCTGGTGTTTTACGCTTCGGTGTTACAAATGTTGATCCTGAAACTTTCCGCGGTATCGAACTACCGAAGTAAGGATTTTCTATGGTTTTGTTGACACCTTAACTCCATTTTTCAGTGTCTGTTGTCGTTTGCAATGTATAATATTCTAATATTCAATTTTCTAGATTTGCATGTCCGGATTTAACGAGTAAAGAAGGCTATTGGGCAAAAGCATTACCAGAGCGTTACTCTGTCGCCGGTTCAATTTTGCATTTTTATGTGAACGCTGAGGGCGAACTTTATTACGGAATAAATGGTGTTTTAAAAGGACAGTTTCTGAATGGAATCAATGTGTTTTCGCCCTTATGGGTTATTGTTGATATATATGGGAATAGTTCCTCACTTGAATTCATTGGTAAATACTTTTTCCTAGTTGATTGCCGTACAAAGTTTTTTTCAAACCGGTATTCGTAGAAAGTCACTCATTTCCATGATGAACTTGGCCATGATTCAATTAGCTCGGCGAATCAGTGAGCCGTTACGTCTCCGAATATCTAACAGTAAAAGTGGATTTTTCATGATCTCGATTATCTTGATATGTATTTTGATTTAGTTTGAGCGCTGTGTGGATTGTTTATTAATTTTTTGCAGTGTAATGCGAATCACGTTTCGATGTTATATCGATACTTACTCTGTTCGGTTAATTTGCAGATCCGAATGAAGTGAGGTTTCGGTCAGCACGGTCAGCAGTGAGTAGGAATCGTGCAAGCAGTCGACCTCTTTCAGCAACATCAGTTTCACAAACACAAATTGCAACGACGAGCACTACGACGCATCACCGACATCCTAGAAATAGTTCAAATACGCGGCCAGATTTTCCTCCTTTGAAATATCATACAGGTATGATGTGTATCATTTCAAATTAATTTATAAAAGTTTCCCACTTCGTTACCTTAGTATCAAAATAGATTTTTCAGGCGCACAGTTTACACCGTTAACTTTCCATACTGTCCGTGGAAAGCATGTTGCTTTGACTCACGCTTATACTGTTGCTGAAAGACATGCTGGTGAATATGCCTGTGGTTACGTTTTCACATCCAGACCTCTTGCACTAAATGAAAAAATCGTGATTCAGGTTGCGTTTGAAATGTAAAATTTATAATTTTTGTCGTATGTGAACAATACTTTCAGAGTATATGTGAAAAAAAATCTAGTTTGTGAGTGATTTTATGCATATTTTGGGACTCTTTTTCACAATCACACTTTGTTTTTAGGTATTGGATATAGAATCAGCTTATACGGGTAGTATGGCGTTCGGATTGACCTGCTGTGATCCGGTTAATTTGCAAGGGTCGACACTTCCCGTGGATAGTGATGATCTTTTAGAAAGACCGGAATATTGGGTTGGCATAAAAGATGTAGCTGCACAACCTAAAATTAGTGATGAACTATCGTTTTGGATCACCGAAAAAGGTGTTTCTCGTTTTCATCAAGAAATTTTCTCAGAACATTTTGTAGAGTTCTCATTTCATTATGTCATTTTTAAGGTGAGGTTTATTTTGCGAAGAACAACCTCACGCCTCGAGTCATCATTCATGTGGATACGTCTGTGAAGCTGTGGGCATATTTCGATGTTTACGGCACGACTCAGAAAATACGTGTACTAGGTAATTTTGAATCTGATAAAGATACTGGGAAGATTCAATGCGATGTCATCAAGATTTTGTTTGATTTGATAGAAGTTACATATTAATATCATTAACGAGTTATGATCTCAAATAACATGTATAAACATGTATACATGATTGATAGCTAAAGCTTGGTCGTGACGAATACTGAGACCGTCTGCATTACGCCAAAATTCACGCTAAAAATTGCAAGATTTCAAAATAATACAATATAAAGTTATTTGTTTTTGTATAGGAAGTATTAAAATAGTAGCAGCGTATCAAATGGCAGTGCGTTTGCCGCCAGTTCCAGCAATCACAAGAACTTCTCGTAGTTTGCTTGACTTATCTCCTGAAATACGAACGGATGCTGGAAGATCAAGTAGCGAATTGTAAGTTTTATCGTTTTTGTGGATTTTTTCTTATCAGCTATTTCGAATCACCGAAGAAGCACTTGTGGCTTCCGTCGTGGGTTCTGACAGCTCCTTTTAGATGTGCTTTTCCAACAACGAGTGCTCATCTTACGCATGGCAGTCGTGAGAACTGTTCTCCTTTTTTATCCAGACGAACGCAGTCGGAAACTGGTGACAGTTTGAGCGGAGTGTTTTTACGTCTACCATGTTCTTCACGTAATTTTTTTTTTTTTTTTGTGTTCTTTATCAAGCTTTTCAACAGCCAAATATTTTAAATATTGATCAAGGGGAATGGATAAGTTGGTATCAGTATAAATTTATTCCTGTTCAGAAGCAGAAAGGAGAGTACCTACTTCAGCACCTACCGTAGCTATGCCTTCGAGGCCGGTATTCATGAGTGGGGAACATTTCATCGACTTCCTGGAAAATTTAGATAACATTCATGGACTTCATGGTAACGAACCCAACATATCTCATCGATCGCAATTCCCATCACCTCTGGTTCCAGCCAGGTAAAAATTTGATTAATGTAGAACTGTACTTTACATGTCATTTGTAAGTATGTCGAAGTTAACAGTCAGAATTTTATGTGTACATTGAAGATCATCTCCTGTGCGGCTTCTGCCAGGAAGGCCACCTTTACATCCTTCACTACGTCCACCATTATTCGCACAGACGGAAAGCCACCAGCAACGGTACGGTGATGATGAGGGTGAAGTTGGCGATGAATGTAGGATTTGTATGAACTCTAAAGTAAATTTTCTCTTCTGTAGAATGACTGAAAAGAATCTTAAAAACGTATACTAAAGAAAAGTGATTTTACCGTTGCAATGAATGCAGGGACTGGTTTGACATTTATCTGGGTTGAACAATTTCCAGTAATTTGTTTTGCATTTGAATTTGAAGGTTTGGTTAATAAATCAGCAGTTATGTGCTGGAGTCATTCATAATTTATTTGATTTTAGGTAAACTGTGTAATCTACACATGTGGACATATGTCGATGTGTTTCGAATGTGCCACAGAAACATGGCACTTGAATGGAGAATGCCCCATATGTCGTAAAAAGATCGAGGATGTCATCAAAATTTACAAATCATAACTTCGTCTATATCATATGGCTATCTCTTTTCTTAAATTTTTAGCTACTGTTACTTCTCTTCTATTAAATCACTCACCCACTGGATCTTTCTAAAAACTTGTCAGTATCTTTTCTCAGTTTTGTATAAGAACTGGTCGTTTTCTTCTATTTAAACGCCTCCTTGCACAAAATGCAACACGCATCAAGATTTCAGGAACTGAATATGAAGAAATCTAATTTTGTCCACTGTTTCAGAAATAGTTCCTTCTCGCATACTTTATATCCTTCGCTTTTTTTCATTTTCTAAGTTTTCGAAATATAATAAATTTATCTATTAATTTATGTTGAACGGTAGTTTTTCATAATTGATGAATATACTTGTTTTATGGCATCATTTCGTTAACTTTGATTTCATGATGGTAGTCGTTATTCTCAAATTAACCGGTTCATCTTTTGCTAGAACTTTTTGTTGGACTCTTTAATTTTTTGACCACCTGTTTATGAAATGCCAGTTACGTAATAAATCTTCCAACATAATATCTAAGCGAAATGTTACTTGTGATTTGTAAATTTATTTTGTGGTTACTTCTAACATTTTAATATTTTACTGTGCGAGTTATAATGAACTGTGCAGAATGTGCAAGAGTGCTGAGAATTGCCTTTATGATTTCACCGTGTTCTAGATGGTTCTTAATCAGATGTTTAAGTTATCCGGTATGCTGTTCATTTCTTTGTCATGGATTTCTTGAAGTCATAATACAATATTACAGTCAAATCCCGGTATATTCATTCTTTCGTAGACATTGTTTTGGTTTTTATAGATTGTATAATTAAATTTCCTGCCGTGTATATCCATAATTTTTGCGCATCGCTTGTTGCACAAACATAGTTCGTCTTTACTTGCACTATGATTTTAGTTACTTATCGTCATTAATTGGAATTTATAGTTTATTAATGTTATTGTGATGTTCTAAAGCTTAGTGATGTTCCACTGGTATGTTGACACTTGGCTTCATTGTTAAGAAGTTTGAAGTTCACAAGTCAGAATTATTTGTGGATATAATAGATGTGCCTGCTTTATTTACCTTATTTTGATCTGTGTATTATCATTTACTGCGCTGATGGATGTTTGTGGAAGCCCGCCTTCTGGTCTAATTTTTGCATATTTTTTTGGTCTGAATTGTAAATTGTTTCAGACGTTGCTTTCATGCTTGTGCTGGATCTTTCAGTTGAAAGTCTGTCTTTTATTCAACGGCTTTCTACTGGGTTGATAGTTCACTTTCATTTGAGTGTCTATCCTTTGGTGCTAAATTTTCTAATTTGCCTTTAGCTGTTTAAGTTTTCTCACAAGTATGCCTCTTCATGTACTCTAGTGGCCCGTGGCCGTTTTACAGTGACTTTTGCAGTACACGAAATTGTTGGTTCTGCTGTGTCATAACTACTCATCATTACCCCAAACCTACTTCTACCATTACAAAAAAAAAAAAAAAAAAAAAACATTTGGATAATATGTGTTTTGTATAAATGTGAAGTTCCTTCACTTCATGCTTGTTTTAAAATTTCACTGTACCAATAACGCATTGTCATTATCACATTATTTTCCTTCGCTGTCTGGGACGCATCATCCCAGCTGGATAAAAATGTTATTCAAAATGCATTATTATTATCGCGATATAAGAGAAATATTCCTCAATTTCATGAAAACCACATTTTCCTCCAAATTATTCTAATAAACATCCAATGTGCAAGTTGTTTACAGTTTGACGTTTATGATTAAATTTTCATAAATCATTCCGCATCTGGGATTATTGCACATGAGTCTCTTCCTCTCTTTCGTTTGCATTAAATAACGTGATTACCATACGATGATTTTTGAAACCTAACAGATGGCTTATGTTGACTCCCATTTTGACAAGAATACATCTACGTTATGTAAACGCGTCAAATAATTCTCCCGGTTCGGTAATAATCATATTCTTTATTGATGAACTGTTATACTACTATATTGTCAAATTATGTGGAAACAATTTACTCCAAGATCAAGAAATAAAGGAGCTTCTCCTAAAGATGATTATTGACTCTTATCAAATTCCGACACTGCCAAATCTCCTGAACTAGTAAATTCTCTACAAATATTTTAGTGTTACAAGCCGGGATTGTCAGCTATTATAGTCGAAAGTGCACAAACGGCAAAAGAGAAACTAGAATTTCTTAATGAGGTCAAAAGGATGAATCTAACACCATTAGATAAAGTGCTTACAAAGAAGAAAATCGTCAACAGCACGAGGCCAGAAAAAGAATTAGGGCGAGTTAATGCACCTCAAGCTGTACTTTCACACTCTCGAAGTCGCAAAGTGGATGGAATGTATTTGTCGCTACAAATGCGAAGCTATAATGTAGTGAACAAAGAGTATTGTTTTAAGTGATTTTAATCTACTTTGTAACCTTAACACCCATAAAATCCCTCCCAATTTTCTTCCTTGCAAAGCCATTCATTATAGTTCCTTGTTTGGTAGGGCTCGGTTGCGAGGTGTCTAGTTTGCTTGTATCTTTAAAAGATTTATAATTAAGTTACATTTGTGTGTTATGTATCAATTCATTATTGTAATGCTGTATAATATTTAATGTTAATCTGTGGTTTAATTACTCAAGTTTGAGGTTTGAATAATAAACTATTTCAGGAAGTACAGGTAAACAGTACAGATTTGAGAATCTACCAGTATCGAAGACAAAGAAATCAACGATCTGAACTATCAAGAAAGGAAAATGACTTTGTTTCACAAGGAAACAGGGCAGTAAGAAAGATACTAAATTTGTCTTTACACTTCCAGAAAGAAGACAAATGCACATAAATGGTCGAGAACAAAAGATAAACGAAGGTAAAGAAATTTTTATAGCTTTAACCAAGTACAAGAAGGATTCCGACCCAGTAATCTAATCCTAAACCAAAATGAAAAGAAAGAGAGACTTGCTTACCAGCAGAAGTGCATCACTCAACAGTGAATTTGCCTAACTACCGATGTTTAGTGGTAATCTAAAATTATGGAAAGCAGTTTTAAAGTATAATCTCCAAAATATCCCAGACATCCAAAAATTGAATTATTTTATGTCTTGTTTCAAAGACAGGCTCTACCAAACTGTGAAATATCTTACCTGAGAATTACAATGTTATAAGAAAGGTCGTGAAGGAAAAATATGGCAAATCCTTTGTTATAAAAAAACCACTATCAATGAATTGCACTCAGTCAAAAAAAAATGATCGAGAGTGGAGGATAACTACTGAGACAATGGAATGAAATTTGTGACAAAACATGTGGAAATTCAAAACATTGACGTACAGCAATTCTTACTGAGAGTAAATTGCTGGCATGTATATTAGATAATGTTATCAATTGAAGGACGTCAATTGAAGCATGTATTAGATATATCAATAAGGTAAGAAAAATTTTTGATAGAACTAGCACAACGAAATGAAGACATCACTAGAAGGCAAATTCTTCGTATTATGAAGAATCAAACCATAAGATTGAAGTCATACCCACGATATACCACAAAAGAAACCATATGTCTAGGTGTAACGACATCGCCAGCACTTAATGTCTTGAAAGTTATTTGATTTGGGCAATCTGATGTTTCACAGGCAGGAATTGTTGTAAAGGTTCATGGAAGATTGCTGGTAATATTTATGACAGTTATTAGTCAATAAAGAATATTAATAACTCAAAGAAATTGTTTTGAAGTTTGAATGAGAATTGGTAATGAACTCATTATCAATTGAGTTGCAATTTAAGAGAGTTATCAAAATGTCGAAATGAAGATTTTCCGTACAGCGTGAACAAGTAAGTAATGGCATAGAAGCCAAAAGGAGAAGACCTGGATAATGAATTCATATTCTATATTGAGTGATTTACAAAGGCATATTGCAATACTCATTGAATACTCCTTGAACATAGGATTAATTATCAGAATGGAAAAAAAAAATGAAAAAATTTATCAAGAAAAGAAGAAAGAATCATAGTCAGTGACCAAATTCCAGTAATTGTTTGGAGAATTAATGGAATTTAAGCTAAAACATACGCCAATAAGGGAAAAACTTCAGCCTTAATCACAACGGAACAACCCGAATTAAGTGGTTCTGAATCAACTACAAATTCAAAGAAAATTACTAAAGATTATAAAAAGAAAAGAAATGTACACTCAGAAACAAGGGCCATTGGGATAACAAGTCGGACTTATGCTGTCTTGGAGCTGATCTTGCAGCAAACAGTATTGTACCAGAAGAAACATTTATTTTTTTTAAAAAAACATTTATGTTTACAATGCTGTACTGTTATACTGCTGGATCAAACAAGGAGGAAACTAATTCAACATTCATAACTAATTAAGCGACTCGACTAACGTATCAACAAGACAAGGAAGTTTCAAAAAGAAGTCTTAGATTTAGTTGACATTGACCTACAGTTATCCTTTATATCGAAGTAAGTAGCAAATCCATTAAAGTTAGAAGAAATCAAAAGAAAAAACTAGTCATCTTCTCGATTTATGTTTTAAACCAAATTTAGGACTTTTTTTCTTAAATTTAATAATACAATTAAAAAAGCAGAAAGCATCTCTCACCTACTTTTAATTTTTTGGAAATATGAGATGACAGAAGAAATAATGGAATATAAACTCATAATAATGACACTGTTCCATCTTTATCTTCACTTGTATGTTAAGAACTCAATAGTTACGCAGTTTTTCATCACAAAATATTTCGCATCACGAAATACATTTTACGATCCTTGGAGTCAAGTCGTAGATATTGGTAGTGGTGTAAATATATAGTACAAGAGATATGATAATAAGAGAAACGTTCATTACGTAGCAATCAATTAATAAGGTCCAACCCTTATCTAATCCTGCCAGTAGAAATGAATTAATCAAATTTTGGAAAGCGGGAAATAATGTAAATGGTGTTAGATTGTAGAGCATTAATGTTATGCTTTAGGATGATCCAATATATGGTGTATAAACAAGATGTCGTTCTGTCAACCTATGCATATATAGCATAGCACAACAAACAAACGTTTACTGTTGCGATACCTCTGTTCGTGTCCTCCCTTCTTTGATTCATATGTTTACGTTACAGCAGTATCAAGTTTGTTTAAGCTTTTATAATCTCACATTTTAAAGACTGCTAGATTAATGGTAAACTGCTGGTTGAAATTCAAAGTATCTCTTTTCGTTACAGAAGCCGCTTCAATTGTTAGTTTTCACATTTTCACACAATGAGCAGGAAAGAGAATACCCTGAAGCACTTGCGCTTTGGCTTATATCGTACATCAACAAGAACTATTCTTTATGGGTTCAGCTTACTTAGTGCAAATAATTCAGCAAACAGTAATGATGGTGATGCAGTCCTGTTGAACGTTCGCTTTATTCCAAGCACTGAAAATCTCCACTCGGAATTTTGCAAGTCAACTTAATCCGAATTATATGATTTGCTTTCTTGTCATCTACATTCTTCTCATCTTCAGCTACTCGCTGGAGCTAAATTATCAGAAATTGTCTGATTGACTTATAAAAAATTGGAAAAGGATCAGTAAATAATAAAAAAAGAATGTAAAGGACTAGAAACCGTTTTCAGAATTTAAAGAGGCGAATAAGTAACCTATCATTAAGAATAATGACGCATCTTCGGGTTATATTCCCATATTTTTTGCGCGTTTGTTTTAGAGTTCCTAAACTAACTGATGAAGATTTGCCAACAACCATTAATCAAGGAAGTTCAACTAATGTGAGTTAGTTTTTTGGGATTTTTTATTGAAGTTCTTTGCTTGTTCAAATTTAAAAATTCTTTGATCATTGACATCGAGCATTGAAATAAGAAACAATAGTATGTTATTGAACATTTATTTTTGTGAGGATGCGGTATTTTTTTTTTTTTTTTTTTTTTTTTTTTTTTTTTTTTTACAGAAATGTTGCGAATATCGTTCCCAGATTTACTTTAAGACATATCTTAAAAAAATATTGATAATAGGTTAAGAGTTTTCAGCAGCATTCGGTTATCAAAGACAATATACAAATAAAAGACGGTGAAAGCATTCAAGGACAATCTGTTATGATTCAGTCGAATTCTTATAATTTTAACTCACTTCACATTGATATTGATGTTTGTTGGTTAATATCAATAGGAACGATATATTTATAACATGTTATGAAATTCCATGAGAAACAGGCGTTTTGTTCTCTTTTGTACAGTGTGCTTGTCGGTTTTAGATAATTATAAAATAATTTTATGCTTTGTATCTTAATTAATCCTTATAAAGCAAATTTCAATATGCTGTATATTATTCTACAACATGATTATAGTAAGGTAATAGGTACAGAAGATGGAATTCAGGCAAAAATGATCAGACAGAAAGTTGTGCCCTGGAAATTTCAGAATTATTTGCTCGCAGTACGTGCAGCAGTCACTGGTGATGCACTCCATTTGTTATACCTGACCAATGTTTTGAAAGTGTCTGTTAATGCAGCGAATTTGCAAGGAATGACTTTACTTCACTGGGCTACTGCAAATGATCACGTCGATATTGTTCAACTATTATTGAGGTACTTACTGATGCTTAATTTCTTATTTTTTTTGGTTTCAAATTAAAACGTTATTTTATGTCTGTTTAAGAGTGCTGAAGTCTTTGAATTATTCTTAATATGTCTCGATCATAATTTTTATAGTCTTGGCGCCAATTCCCGACTTATTACCAAAAAAGGTCGTTCTGTACTCCACACCGCTACTTATAATGATGCCGCACGTTGCTTAAAACTGTTTCTAAAAATTTTTTTTGAACAAGAAAAGATGGTATGCATTTCACTTTCAATTTATTTATTTTTTTTCTTTGTACCTTTAGGTAGCTTTGGCCTCCAAATTTCCAGAATATGCTACTTAAACACTTGTTTTCAGTTTAGTATGAAGAACAGTTATGGAATGTCATACAAATTTATATTGCAGCGTGACTTTAACGGCGATAATTTATTGCATTTGGCATGCAGACTGCGCAAAAAACGTTGTTTAAAAGTTGGTGGCGCATATTTTGTTTGCAAATTTTTGATGAAAGGTGCCTCATATCATATTCCATTCTTTTTCTTCTATCGTTGAAAAATGAGTAAGGTCTCATATTATAGATTATAATAAGTTTCATCATAAAATATTTGGGATGGATACTAGTGGAAGAGATGCTGCAACAGTGCAATCAAGACAATCAAACACCAGTACATGTGGCGTGTCTTTGGAATAGTGTAGAAGCTGCAACTTTGTTACTTACTGATAATCTTAATAAAATCGTTCGCAAAGTCTATAATTCCGTGAAAGGATCTGTCGCTGTAGTTGCTCTTAAAATGGCATCAAAACGAACGCTGTTCTGGCGAATTGAACGGTTAGAAAGCAGAAATGTACTTTTGAGAAATATTTTTTACTGTTATTATGCAGCTGCATGATATTAGCAAAGAGAGGTGTTGTTTGTTTCACTTTAGTTATTGTTTATTTAGAGGCACAGTGCTGCACGAAATGGCGACAATGAAGTGCGGTTTTGCTTGTTTCACTAAAAATTCTTCATCTTTATTGGAATATGATAATAAACTGGCAGCATGTACGATGACTGAAATTTTCGAAAAAAGATGTCCTGAATGTGAAAAAGGTTGAATTTCTTTGTTGACTCATCATGTCGGTTCTTCACCTGTTATATTACAGAAGTACTTGCTCTAATTTATGTCATATAGCTTCTTCAGCGGAGTGTATCAGAAAGAAATCAGATTCCTCGTTTGGTAAACCAAATTATCATTATCACTTGTTTTTGAACATATTATTACGATAATCAGTTGACCTGTAACTCACTTGTTAAATGATTTAGCACGGTTGGAGGTAATTAAGATAATTATGAGGTGCTGTCCTGAGCTTGTCCTCTTGCGAGATGTGTTTGGACAAACAGCGTTGATGTGTTCAGTAATCAGTGATGCAGTTTCACTTACTAAAGCTCTTTTGGTTTATAAAGGTGGAAGAAAGGTCTGTACATATGTTAGTTTGTCGTTTTCTCCCAAATAAATTACCATGTCCCAGCTGACGTTATCTTCATTCGTTTCACGAATTAGTTATTCACAAATTATGAAAATCACGGTAGAAAATCTGTTTGTACATTTTTATTTATAGTAAGAAACAGAGTACTGATATAGTAATTTTTTAAGCAATGGTTAAGTAAGCAATTGAAGTCTGTAGATCCGGATTTTCGCACAGCACTGCATCATGCAGCGGCGGGAGGTAGAGTGCTTCAAGTGGTGCTACTTTTGGAATGTGGTGCGACAGTAAAAGGACAAGACAGTTATGGTGCAACTCCGATGCACTATGCTGCTGTCCGTGGATTCTGTGCTACACTTAAGCTCTTGTATAAAGCTAATAAATATGCTGATGTAAGTTCACAAAATACAAAGCTCAGAAAGGGATTTTTTGTCTAGAAGTCTCAACTTTCAATCGCATTTGCGTTAATCACTAAGTCAACCATTTATGAAAATTTCTTCAGGAAATCCGTACAAATGATGGTCACAGCGCATTTATGTGGGCAGCAAAGCATGGTGTCAGTATCTCGATACATACTATGATCGACGCAAATCCAGTAGTAAATCAGGAGGACTGTGACAGTTATGGTTGCACTGCACTTCATTTAGCTGCAGCAGGCGACCATGTTGAGGTCATCAACACGTTACTCTTGCTTAAATGGAATGCTGAGGTGCGTTCACTTTAGAGCTGATAAGAACTGTGGAAAAGCTTCGGTAATGAAATATTCTTCCGTTATTCTGCATATAGCTATATCATTGCATTACAAACAATGCATGGGTAAGAAATGAAGTTAAAACCGTTGCAGCTAATATTCCACTTGCTATAACCGTTGAAATATCAACCCCACTGGCTTAACAGTGCATCGTATATGCTTTGCAAAACAAAAAAATCGATGTTCGCAATCTATCGCTTCAAACTCCTAGATGTAGATTTACTATAATATACTCAGACTATTACATATTTGCTAGCAATAAGGCTTCATTCAAAAGTTTTAGAAGCGAAACAAACTTGGTGAGACTCCTCTTGCAGTAGCGGCAAAAAATGGTAGTGCAGGAGCTGTACTATGTTTTCTTCACGCTGGTGTTGACTTCTTCAGTCAAGACAAGGTGGATTTTCAAAATTCACGGAAAATTATTATTACGATATAACAGAATTTCTGATTTAGTTCAACAACACAGTTCTTCATATGGCGGCAAATTCAGATAGCAAGAAGGAAACCCTCCATCAGCTTCTTCATTATCTAAAGGATTCATCTTTGTTAAACATGCGAAATAATATGGGCCAAACTCCACTACATTGCGCTACTGAACATAATGCCCTGCAATGCGTACGATATTTGTTAGAAGTACTTTTTTCATTCCTAACAAATTCTCTTTAAGAGAATTCGTTATCTCTCTGATCAATCTTTTTTTGAAAGTTTAATTTGGCAATGACATTCAATTTGAAGTGTGGGGCAGATCCTCTGATAAGGGATAATCGTGGATGGGATCCTCTAATGGTTGCAGTACGACAAGGTTGCTGGTCTACAATCATTTTAATGTTGAAGTCAGTCGTCTTTCTTTCACTGTACTTTCATTCTTAATTGCAGCCTATGATCGTTTCACACGGAAAGAAAACGAAAAAACTTTACAACAAATGAAACTTATTTATCTTATACCTAAGGAAAAGTCGATATCATTTAAAAAATAGAAGTGTTACGTACGCTTTTATTACAGGAATTCATCAAATATCAATTGCTATTCGGCTGCTGACAATCAAACAACGTTATCACTAGCTCTAGAAAGGAAAAACTATATTCTCGCCTCATTTTTAGAAAAAAATGGCGCACTGTTGGCTAGTGAAATACAGGATACGGCTGCACGAATGTACGACTTATTTCTAGCGGATTTTTACGCAGACTCATATCCTTATTTTAATTCGGTTCATCAAAACTATCAACTACCACTTAATGAAAAGCCACACGGTTTGGTTCACTGAGTTGTATTTCAATTTAGTATAATGTATATCCCAGAGTATTAGTAATTCCTGGAATACTAATTCAAAGAGTTTGTGTGAACTAGGTTTTTCGGTGTATTCCGATATATAAAAATTCCATCAAATGAAATTCTCACTCATATAGAAAAATGTTCTCAGAATTCAACGTTGGTATCGCGGCCGAGTCACCTCTCGATGTCACCGACATTCAACACAAACACACACACTTGATGGAATCGCCTTTTCTTCATTATCACAATAACATTCACCTTATAGTTGCAGATATTTGCTTTCATGATATTTCCGGACGGATCTATAATGTTTATCACATTTCCATACTAGTTCTCTACAAACCACGTAATACATTAGCTATCTCCTAGTGAACTAGGCTCATGACGTTTTCATCATTCATTTCTTGTATGATTAGATAGTTTTTACAAAAATTTATGACCTACACCGACGATCAATTACGGTACGAAGGATAGTTAATATAATAAATCAAAATCGCATATTTTTAGCATGGAAAATGAGCACTTATTATATTTGTATATGTTTGTCGCAAAAGCATACATCTCTTTGTTTTGCTATATAATTTTTAAAAATAAAAATACTCACTTTAGAAGGCATGTCTAGTTACTATACATTCATCGCAAAAAATAGAAATGAAATGAAAAATGTTCTCGAATAAAATTAACAGTACTTTATCTGATTCATTATTACTCAACATTTATTATATAAAAATAACATCGAAGCTTTGTAATGTGATTGCTATCAGAGAGTTTCCAACAGCTTGCGGACTTGTTCCCTCGTGTCTTTAGGATCTTTGACGGTATATCCAGTAGTTCTAGGATCAATAAACAGATCATAGTCATTACCTCCCTAAACAAGGAAAATATATGCATAGAAACGTACAATTTATCGCATATTAACTGTACAAACATAACAAAACGATGTGTATCTTATTGAGACGAACATGAAATAATGACAAACCGGTGCAGTTTTATCGCCAAAAAAGTGAATGGTGTGGAAATCATCCAGAAACTGTAAACAATACCTTTTGTCCCAACCATACGGAAATACGTCGATACTGATCTGGCCACCTATGAGATGAATTGTTCAAATGTGCATTGAAAGAAAAAAAATGAAATGAGCCTTGTTTACCTATACGAATATTGAGATTCCATCCTTCCGTGAAATTTTCAAGTTTCCTAACAAATTCTTTACGCACACCATGTTTTTCATCATATACTACAAATTGCAGTCGCTCTTCTTGGGTACAACTTCGGCCTATTGGTGAGAGATTTAACATTCCCTAAATTCAAATTTTCGTATGATTGGTGTGAGGATATGTACTTTCATATGTTAAATACAAATCGATGAAATCCTTCAGGATTTTTGATACTGTCATATACTAAAACATCCACACTTATTGCCAACATAAAACTATCATTCCAGAAATCTTTAACCGCACTGCATAAGATAAAAGACGATGTTACCACATTTTGTGATTGAAATTCCCTTTATTCTATATCTTCTGTCGTGAATCCTTTTTTTCTACTTCCCTTTTCACTTTAGAGGATTCAAAAGTTTAAAAAACGAGTAGACGGAACTTGCATTTCGAAATTCAATAAAATTTCCACGTTTAATAGGCAAATCAATTTTTGAAAATTCTCGTAACGTGAAATTGATGAGTTCTTTCAGTCGCTTTTCACCAAGAAGATGTTTTATTGACTGTAAGTATTTCAATTCCAATTTGCAAAAAGAAAAACGAACAGCAGTCAAATTTCAGTTAAGTAAAGCTCATCTGTGCTAATAAAAGCAACCAATTATAAAAACGGAAGTATGGAATCATCGTTTAAAACTTGAAAAAGTGTAACCAATTTCTGAAAAATAAATTAAACAAAGCAAGAAAATTAAGATGTCTGTAGTATGAGAATATGACAAAATAAAAAAACCTGCACGGGAAATGTAGTCCCTCTACTGACACTTACAAGCCCATTTTCGCTGAACACATAATCAAAACGGTTCAGAACTATAACAAATTCTGTGGAGTCAGTTGACGCAGAAATAATGAAAGCGGCCATGTTAAACCAAAGCACAATGGTGAAAATACATCAAAATACTACCGAGCCCATTTAATCAGGCTGTACGAAAACATTCTGTATGAATTAACATTATCAATAGACGCCGAACTTTTTACTTGTACATAACAAATATTTACCATCCTCCAGGCTTTCTCCCAACTGCTCGACTACTTTTGGTAGATCAGAACCGCTCACTACTGCTAAAGGTACTGCTTTGTGCACTTCCATCATGAAATTGCTCATTTCTTGATCCAACTTCTGGAGAACGGCACAAAAAAAAAATCAGTACACCCTCAATGGCCAAGAAATATGTAAAATATACAGAGCAAACAACTGTAACAACTTTGGCGTCCGGACATGCATAAAACATGCAAATCCATAGTATCTTCATTCATAATGTTCATAACTCATAATGTAACATACCTGACGTGGTAATGTTAGAGTACCATCAACATCAAAAAGAAGAATTGTGGTTCCTTTCGATTCATTCATTCTAAAAAAGTTAGGTGAACCGAAATACACTTCCAGTGCAGTGCATGTCCAAAGCGACAGATGAATATCTGTAGATGCAGTAATGCTTCTCAGCACCACCACTGCTTAAATAGCACAAATATGGAAATACTTGCGCTTGAGAGCAAAAACTCAATGTCTCTGCCTGCATCATAAAATAAACCGTTAGCAAAATTTACTCCTTTAAAAAAAAAGAGTTGTTAAAATTAAAGTTACAGGGTAGAACAAAGAATTGTGCTAAAATGAATAAAGAAACGGATCAATCATAAAAAATGACTATTACTAATACAATTCAGTCAAAAACTGCTAACCGAGGTATAGTTCTAATATTATTTCATTAACAGGAATTAATCTACAATTACACCAACGTAAACTTAACCAAACGAACAATGCAGTATATCAAAAGAGTTCACGTAATCAGTTCCAGGACACCACAACACATCTGTAAGTACTAAAATTAACGAAGCACCAGGTAGAAACTTACATATTCAAACTGGAACAATATAGGAATCTGACTGAACGACAAGAAAATAATGTTTCCTATCTGTTTGCTTAAGAAAACCTAAAACTCGAATTTTGTGCCGCTAAGAAGTGGATTTTATTGCTACCATAATGCAGCACATAGAAATCACAAACGACAACGGGACAGTGCACAACAAATGGGGTTATCTTTTTGAGAATTCTGAAAATATTTGTTTGTTTTTTTCGCCGATCACATGTCTACCAAGACAATGAGACAACAACTATACCCTTTAAAAATCATTTTTTATATAAGTTTTGTGTACATGAGTAAAGAGATGAACATATGGGCTTGTTCCAAATAAATGTTCGTAAACGAACGAAAAAACATAAAGATTTTATTAGAAGCTATTACTGCATGAGGTCTGAAAGTAATTTTTTCATTGAGATTCTCGAATAAGAGTCGAACTGTAATATACACCTAGTAATTTCAAAGTTCTAGATCAGTACTTCACGATTACTATACGACAGCACTTCCAACGAATAGTAATAAATAAATTAAGAAAATAAAACGCATATCCAAAGATCGATGACTTCTCAAGTAATCATAAATAATGAAAGCTGACAAACCCTATGCTGCAGTATGACCATACATAATCCTACTCTTATTCTATTTACCTGTAATGTTTTTAAAGTGTACTTGCATAATACCGTCACAAACATCACTGCAATCAGTGTAATCTGCGCCCTTTATTTTTGCCATAGTTGCATTCATAAACTGCTCTGCATTCTGGTATTGCATATCATCAGCCAGACCGGAATCACTGGAAGTGCAGACCAGGATGGAATTATCTTTATCCACTGATGTGTTAGAGCGAACTGTTTTATCGCAAAAAAGTGAAAGCACATCACCACGCATGGTTTCTGAGACTTGAAGTGTTCTTTTTTTCTCGAACCACTCGTCTAATTTGATTAAAAGATTAAGGAGTTCCACGTCGATCAAACCCATTGCATTCTAAATTTGATTATTTAGATTTAAGAATTGAAAGTGTAAAATCTAAAACAACGTTTCACACAGACCTGAACCCAATTATGGTGCTGAAGACAGTTTTTCCGTGGGCAATGACAAAAGCCTTCTTGAAGGAGGGCTTGCATGTCGTCAAACGTTTTGATAACAGGTCGAAATTTGTTTTTGTTCCATGCAAAAGGATAACCACACACCTAAATATGGTTTCATTTATGAACAATAAGTACTAGTTCCAGAGACAATCAAACAATAGAATTGAAGAAAAAAAAAAAAACCATTTGATAACCATTTGATGTTCCATGGGTTGTCGATAAAACCATCACAAAAAATGTAACTTAAGTAGATTCATTTCTCACAAGAAAATTTCATCAATGAAGTGGTAGCAGTTTTAGCATGCCAAAGACAATAATTGTGAATGGATAGAAAGGATTGATTTCTAGAACAAAGAATGTATTTCTTCACGTCAGTATCATTATACCTTTGTAGCATTCTCTGTAGACTTGTAATGTTCACTACACAACACACGAAGACGTTTGCAAAACGTATTATTGGCCTTGTTAAATTGCTCGCAGAAAATATTATACGGATTGACTTGCGACTAAAAGAAACTTGAAATTAAGGGAACACGTAATAACGATTACACCAGCTTTGGAAGCATGATAGACAAAGATTATTGCATATTGTAAAGAACCTTCAAACAAAATTCACGCACACAGCAAATGTGTGTAGTATTTATTGAAAATTACTCACAGTACCTCAACTCCTAATTTTATTTAATATTGAAAAAACGAACTTTATTCGGAGTGCCATAGCAACTCTGTTTTTCATTACGCACGAAGCAACGCTCCATATGTTTTACAATGAGTTTGGCTGGAAATTCCAAAGCGCATACAGAACAATGTAGCACCTTAACAAGTACATCTTGTCAACTATAATAAATTTCCTCTGAAAGAATTCAAACCAAAACAATGCAGACAATTCCAAAATCAAAAACCAGTTACTTACGAAATCCATGTCCGGTGAATTATTGACAGTTATTTCGCTCACAGATTCGATCTTTTCAGTAACCTAGATAAGATTTGAACAACAACCCGTTAGAAGATTTAAAAAAAAAAAGTGGAATGAACTTTATCTGCGACACAACACAAAAAAACTTCAAATAAGTTCTCATAAACAAATTGCATGATCATAATTTACTCTTTACAGAAGATTAAACGTTCGGTCTACATTTTAAGTGTAAGGGCAGTTTATATAACTATATTATCTTCAAATGCAATATAATACAAAACACACCGAAATCCATTTTTGCAATTCGTCCTGAAAATCTGCGAATATGCGCACTTTATTCTGCAAAGAAAACAATGAAACCCATGATATCGCAGACTGAGAAGCAGACAATTTAAACAGTAAAGCAAACGAAACTTCTTACTTCTTTTCTACCACTAACATGTCTGTTTTTTTCTGAAAGACTTCACCGACTCAAAAACCACGTACAAGCAGATAAATTTACAAGCTGTGACTGAGAAGGGAAACTTTCAAGTGAAAAGTAAATCCAAATAAAAGCAATCAATATCGTGAGAAAAATATTTCCAGAAGTAGAAGAAAAGTTACAAGTAATCTAGAATCCAGAAAGCATTATTTCATAGAATCTCTTTGAGATATAAACCAATCAACGACCTTAACAGCAACATCCAACAAAAGGAAAATGCTAGGATGACCGCACTTAATCTGTTAGAAAGACCACTGCATTAATAAGTCCCTGAAGTTCCGACGGTTTCCTAGTCGATATTTAAGTTGTTGTGAAAAACTGAGCAAATCACGCTGTTGTCATGATATTTAGCTTAAGAAGTTTGAAATCTTTGGTATAAGAAATTTCGCCAAAGGCTTTAATTCAAATGCATGAGAGAAATACTAATCGCTCGAAATAATATAACCCAATATATAGTAAGGATATCATAATCAAAAATTTGAGATATAAGATGCAGAAGTGGAAATATGCGAGTAAAACATGATTACTGCGTGTCATTTATTACAGTAATAAATTTATCAAAAATTTATTTCAGTCAAAGAAAACTAAATATTTACTGATTCGCCGAGAAAAAAACACTGAAACGGGAAATTATAACTTTCCATTCCTTAACCTATCTGAAACTGCCCCTTTCGTACCTCAGAAAAAAAAAAAAAATGAAACTATATCAAATAGAAGTGAGATGATGTATGAAGGTTACATACTGCCATTAGGACCATCTAAAACTATTGGTTATAACTTCCCCGAACCAGCGATACAAAAACCAGCCGAGGTAACTTCCAGTAAATTTGAAGTTATTTCAATTACTCAAAGCGATATAATACCGTGAAAAATTGAATCTGCTCTTCCGCTGTATCTCGTAAATGCTGTGAATGTTCCATAGAATATGACATATTATCCCAAAATGAATGAACACGGTTCGGCAAGATGACACGTAAACGATCCTGGAAATAACTCGGCAATTTTGAAATAAGGACTTCGGCAGAAACTAAGCAGTATTTATCATAAGTGGTTTAACAAATATTTTAAACAACTTAAAATCATCCAGCGAACAATTAATTCCTTTCAATAGCGTTAAGACTATTGAAAGTAGTCAACGACATTGCTAACTAAAATTAGAGTAACGTACACGTGCCAAATTCATTCCGCATTCTTCGCAACAGAATTTCGACTGTGCACGTGTGGAATTCGTGCAGTTGGGTCCCTCACAATGCTTTAATTTTTCCTACAAAGATTACTCACCTGAGAATTATTAAGTTGTCAACATAATAAATTTAAATATCTGTAAAAATAAACATAGTACTGATTACAGTTAATAACAATGCTGCTTAAGACTATTAACTAATGTGATTACTGGAATTTAACAATTATTGAATAATAATTGGAAATTATATATATAAAAGATGCTTTACAATTGTTAAAGACGCCCCTGAAAAGACATATGTGTATTAGACTTCAAACCTTATTCGGATTATGGCGATGTGAGCGGCGATTATAAATGGCCGATGCAATTTTTTGGCGCTGCTCTGTAAGACACAATAAATTAAGCAAAATATATCTAAAGAGCTCCTTTTTCATTTCATTGTCAGACGAAAAATATCTCCCATAACCGGTACTAACTCATCCAACACTCAACGTAATCAATTTTCATGATTACCAAGAGAATACTTACTTGCATAAGTTCATTTTTCAATGCAAAATTTTCTGCTGAAACAGTGATACAAAATAAAATGCAGTGAAATAAGAACTGAAACATTTACCAGCGTAAATGAAAATAAAAGCTGACTGCTTGAGAATAACAATAATAATAAGAATGACTTGTCTCCATACCTGTTGTAAATGAAAAATCGCTGGTTTTTAACTTCTTTGTTCTTCCCCCTGCTGCATTTGTTTGACGCTTCTAAAAACATTAAATAAATTATTGTCCCGTCATTCTGTGTATAATACTACTGTATGATGCGACAGGTATAAGAAAACAAAATTATCTTCATTTTAATGCTGAAGGTCTGAAATAAATTTACGGTACAAAACTGCCTAAAAAATTTTGGATTATAAAACCTGATTAGACCATATCAATGATGATTATGAGCAAATATGTAGTTCCTCATATAATAAAAATTAGGACGTTGGTCAAGAATGCGAAGAAATAGACGTAACAAAGGTATAACACCTCACATGGCATACATATATTAAACATCAAATTGCATTTAGACATCGAAAAGTTCTTTCAGTGTTATTTCTCTGTATTTTGTTTGCTTCTTTTACAGAAGCTTATAATAAACAAATAAGATACAAAGCATTTGCCACCTACCAAAAGTTAGTAATAACCTGATATGCTGCGGTTTTCTTTTTTTTTGTTACTTTTCTTTGAGCTTTTTTGGCAACACTTGCGGCCGAGCCAAAACGTGTCGAACCAGCTTCTCGTTTAAAAGTTCCCATGTTATCATCATCGTCATCATCTGTTGTGCTAAAAACTATAAAACTATTGCTAAGTTCAACGAGAAATAAGACAGTAAGCAATTTATAATGAAGTAACATAACAACTCACTAAGGATACTTCATTCGTTCTTTCTTGCCTTTGGCTAGGAATGAGTGCATGTTGGAATGAATTGCTGAAAGTAAAACTTTGTCTTAATTCATCGCTAAATTTAACAGTGAAGGTATTCTTCAAATATTCAATATTACAGTCTTTAACATAACTCTACTCCCTGTCGTTCTTTAAAAGATTAATTTACGTAAATGATTGAAAATGCATTGGACTACGGTAATAAGGTTACTGAAATTCGGATAGAATCAATAATGGAAACATATTTTCAAGCTCTTACGAATGATTTGACAGCGATTTGTCCAGTAAAAAAAAAAAAAAAAAAAAAAAAAAAAAAAAAAAACAAAATCCTTCCGTTTTATTTCAACAAAATTAAAAACAAAATCACTTTCTCTGCCAGAAACTTTAAACTGTTGCTGTTTTTTCTTGTATTTATTCCACCATTCTGACTGCAAACAAATGCGCTTTAAGCATGGTTCTACAGAAGTAATACAGTTTGCACATTTACTACAATCTGTCGATCGAAAGCAGTTAATGCAGTTGTTGCAACCTTCACCACGCTTTTCTTCTGCAAGAGTTCCACATAATCAGTATCAATACAGTCCACAAATTTAGAAATAATGCATGTAAAATTTCTTATGCTGATGATGAGCAGTTACGTTATCTTCACAGTGAAAAAATCGATCTACATGACTGGTAACAATCAGACCATGGTCATCTTTTGAAGAACGTCTCAATCTGCTTTGAATTTTAATATTGTTTCTAGATCCCTTTGATTTGTATTGCTTCTCACAATGAATGCTCTTTTCTCGTTCCCTCTTCTGGAAAATAAATGAAAAAAACTAAGGATATTTAAAAAGAATGATCTCGTATTTAAAAAAAAACACCACTGCTCATTTCAAAAAAAAAAAAAAAAAATGTGAGCTCATTTGCAAGCTACTGAAAAAACTCACTGCAACGCGGTACATGATTTTTAAACTGCTGTCTTTGCTAATACAAGGAGGGCACGCATACGTTTCGATACGATTTGCTTGGGTTCGAGTAACCTTAAACATAAATATAAAACGATAACTTGGACGGATGTGCTAAGTCATGGAAATTGTTAACACTGTACGGTAGAAAGGACTGCTAAATAACTTTGGCATAAATATGAATTGATTTACCAGTTATACGTTAATATCCAGTGAATTATTTCTTAATTTATATAAACTATCATGCATTATGAGAATAATGCAACTATATTAAGAAAAAAAATGCAAGTATTTCCTATTTACAAACTGCATCCATCCTTTTCTGTACAGGGCGGATTTTTTGCAATTAAGTGGAGACTTGGAGGCATTACTTGCAAACAAGCTCCGTGGTACCAGACACCGCAATGATCACAGCATATCATGAATGACGACTCATCACTACTTCCACACAAACAATGTGTTTGCTGCCCAGCTTTGATTTTTTCTGCAACAATCGACATTACACATAGCAGTATTCTAGTTTGAAATTAGAACTTAGTATAGAATTATTAGTATAAGCAATGAACATAAAGTACTGATCCACCTTCCGAGAAAAGATACAACGCTAGCAATTCAAACCTATATGAGCAATATATATACTAAATCTAAATATCCTCCAATTCCGCTTCTCAACTACAAATACTTCCCACTCATGCAGTGGGTGAGTCCTTACAAATCCATATCCAGCATAACGCGTCTTCAAACAGTAAGTGAATGACAGACACGACAATATGTAAGCTTTGTGGTTCGACATGGTTCTTAACAAGAAAAAAAAAAACACATTTATCTGCAAAAGTTATGCCACTGTTTTGATATAACTCTTGACTAGAAAGTACCTTCTTCTTCGGTATTTACCGTTCCTTCCAGATTTTGTTGACCCTGTGCACAAATATCCATATCCTTCGCTACTGCTATAAAATAAATCGCTTTACCAATAAACCGTAAACCACAACTTGAAATATGACCATTACGTTATTTAAAGATAAATAGAATAAATAGTGGTACTGTTTTGACTTAATTAGCAAGGAACTCAACATACAGAAAAACACAAGACATGCGCAAGAAACTATCTCAAGACTAACACAAAACAACAAGAAAGTTGCATATCCCACATTGACTACATCATAGCCTATTCTAAACAGCCATTGTTGAGATGTGGATCTGAGTTATTCAGGGTCCATTCTTCAACAATGATTACCCAACTGGTTTCTTTTTCTTAGCTTGAAGAAATTAAGATCAAGCCTAACAGCGTGAAACTCGAGTCCGAACTTAATTCCCTGTCTCTTCAGCAGAACTTGTCCTTGGGCTAGATAATTTTAAATACCATAACAGTGAATAGTCTACTAGATTCCACATATATTAATGGAATATGATTGAAAGCTGAGAAACCTCTAGTGAATACAGACAGTTCAGACGATGTAGTTGAAGCATATTTATTGAACATCACTATCACCAAGCAATGAAGATTTCAAAATACGAAAACAACCCGTTAGTTATGCTATGTAGAATGCAGAAACAGATATGTTACGTCGAAAAAACAAAATATAAATTTTTCATTAACTGACTAAAAGAACCAATATCCCAAAACAAAAGTGTACATTTCATGTCATTGGGCTAAAAAACAAGCTAATCATTTGGCTCATGTTCATACAAATACATAGTTAAGCATTTTAAAGCAACCATTAAGCTTACAAGAAATATTCCTATTAATCAACTTCAATCATAAAAAGAGAAATAGACTTTCAAATACCTTTTGTCCCTTCAATTTAATAAGCTTGTTATAAGTAGTTCATCTATGTTATCACTTCAAGACACATATATGTTCAGCAGAAGCAAAGAAATTTCAGATTTCATTGCTTCCGCTTTGAAACCACTGTGGTAGGATAATCTGGGGTAATTTTGAATGGATGCATAACTCTACTGCGGAATTATACTCTACAGATCTAAACATATCCCATAAAGCTGCCACCAAATAACGGAAATGGTGCTAGGACTGCCACATATTGTATCACCGGCAACCAACCACAAAGTAACATAAGGTACAACTGTTAGAAATCAAACATGTTCATAAACGGTCACCCAAAATGGGCAATCTTTTTTAAAATTAATGGAAGCGCTAAACACACGATCCGTTCATCAAGAAGAAACTGAAGACGCTACATAACTGTAATGGAATTGAAACTAACACCGCAAGAGGCAATATTCCACGGCTTATAATTGCAGATATTACATATAGCAGCTATCATGTGAAAAAAAAAAGTACATTAAAAAAAGGAGTTCTTTAATAGATTTTAGTTATGCCTAACATTTGATAAATCTTAGGATATTGCTTGCATCTATGCAGTTGACCACATAATATGATACTACCTTTTGATGACCGCGCTGGGAAGCTTACATAAATAGAACTAGTAAGACTTAATCCAAATTTTAAGATGTTAAATGCGGGACCCATATAAATATAACTTATTCTCACAAACATAAAATAATGTTGTGAATTTAAAACAAGGAAGCAAAATCTACAAAAGTTAAGTCCATGAAATGTAAGTCTTACCATAGCTACAAATAATGCATGAAAGTTGGAATACAAAATTGATCTGAAAACAAATCGCTTCAATACAATGAGTACGAAACAAAACTGTACAATAAATAACTAGCATAAATTTAAAAAAGATGGTTCAATATAGATTTGTAGTAATCATAATGGAATAAAAGAAAACCCAAAGTGGTAGTCTGATTCACCAAAGAAATTCAATTGCTTACAGGAGTATTATCACACTGGAAATAAACATCGACAAGGAGAGAAACCATAACAGTTTCAGTGAGGCCAGCAAAGAATACAATTAGTCGAATATTAAACTGCAGCTTTTAAATAGGAATATTTTAAAATTTTAAATTTTAAAATTTAAATAGGAATATTTTAAAAAATTTTAAATAGGAGGTATGTAACTGCAATGTATTAAACTCTTGCATTTTTTCCATGTTTGCGCTTATATTTTCGCTCCACTGTGTTCATTAACTTTCTCAACTTATCTTTCAGATGGCTGATATTTATTTTACATTTCATGATAACCAAAAAATTCTTAATATGTATATGATAACTGCATTTAAGATTAACCGGAATTCCTGTCATACATCTGGTAGAAAACCTATGCTTCGAGAAGAAATATATTTCAACACTGCAGCTACTTCATCTCTTTTTGCAGCAACAAAAAAGAATTACCAGGTTTTCTCAAACTTTCAGACGAAATATAATTTAACACAAGTGGTATCACCAAATAAATGAAACAAATCTCTAAGAAATATGGAATCTCTCCACAGCACCAACTTACAAATTTTATTATAATTAAAGACCACTGCATCTTAAAAGAAGATCACTGCATGTAGAAACAATACAAAACATATTAAACAAATTTTTTCCTAAACTTATGCTCATGCGATAACTTCAAAAAAGGAAATATCATTAACTGTATTTGGGTATAAGTAAGCAAACTTGTAAGACTTTAAATGACCAAAGACAGGCGGGTTACTTGCCTACTTCCATATATTACGAACAGTTCTCTTTAACGCATTTTAAGTACTGTCTCTAATAGCTAACCAAATAACAACTTCAACTTTGACAATCTTGCCCGACGCATTTCTCAAAGCAATTTTATCACAACATGGTGATGCAACAATGTGATGTGAATTTCCATAATAATCTAAGAGTAGCATAGATCGTATTGATACCTAACCAAAAATCTCATTTTGATATTAACAAATGGGGACCTGGATTGTGCAGTATTGCTTCCTGGTAACTGCAACGGTCCGTGCTTGTGCCTGACCCACCGGATTCTGGATCGGAATCTTCCTCTTCTGCTTTTTCAGCCCTTGCTTCTGCCTCTGGTTCCTCTTTCACTATGCTTGTACAAGCGAACATTTTGCTTTGGGTAGAAGTGGACAACTTACTTGTATCTCCCACTCGATAAATTCCTATGACGGGTTCTACACGTATTGCCGTGGAATGTGATGGTGAGAGTACACTAAGGTTTTCACGCAGAACCTCGACATAACGCTGGTAACGTTCTCTCTGCAAAGAGAATCAGAATATGCTATTGATTAATACCCAAATTAATTTCCCAACACAATCATGAATGAAACGCTAGAAAAAATCAAGTAGTTTCTCTAATCACTGCATTAACTGAATTTTCTAACTGAAACATGTTTTGAACACATTAAATAGTTATCACACGAGGATAATTAAATGAAATAAACAAGTTACTTCTTGGTACAGAAAACGTTCTTTGTAAAAAAAGTCTTGCACAATATGGCCTTTAGCATTCAAAGATGGCGCTGTTCTCATAAGTTCTGCAAGCTTCAATCCCATTTCTTCTTCTTTTTTCTCGTGTACTCTTAGTTGCTCCACCTGTAACCAATTTTAATTGCTTAAATGTCATTTTGAAAATTATTATTAATGCGATCACAAAAGCGTACTATTGCACAAAAATGTAAGTGTACTATTGCAGTATGCACTTATCTTATATTTTTATTACTGGTACGGTTTTTTAATCCTTACATAACTATTCGAAAGTAATTGCTCAAACAAATGGGCAATGCGGAAAAAACTTAAAATGCAATGGATGGTAAAGATAATTTCTCTCAATAATTAATTTTTTCAGATTTACAGCTGTAAATATAAATCTATGCAAAGTAAAGTTGCAATCCTAGTTTTTATATGAGAAAATACTTACTATTGACAGACCTGACGGCGCACTAGGTAGTAGCGGTTTGTGGAAAACTTCAACCTGATTTGAAACAGATGCCGGTAATGCTGGTGAAGAAAAAGCTGCAGCAACGTAATTAATTGTATCAATCCATTGCTGCACTTCGCTCGGATCACTGAAAAACCATCTTTTTTCCAGAGCTTTATTATATAACGCATAAATTATATAGCGTCCAAAAAAAATTAATCAATTAATAATGTAGAATATTTCACTTATTTCGAATTAAAGGAATATTTGACCTAATGATTTTTCAGTATAAAACATATGGTAATGAGCATGTGGTAATAATCACCTCGTTTGAAAAAGTGTTTCACCGAGATTAGCTGTCCGTAATTTGAATACATGCTGCCTCTTGCTATAATCTTCAGGCTTTTCAGCCAGTGCATGATGCAGAAGGATAACATTATTGAATGTCTGGAAACGGCCACGCCGGAAGCCGCTCTCATCTTTATGCAAATAAAGAACCATGCCACGAAGTCGAGCATAAACCATCTTCCAGCCGCGCCGACCAAACGGAGCTATATGAAACAAAGAAAATACCCCTTACCATTTTTCTTTCAAATACTAAAACATGATTGCGGTAGGTGATTCCAAAGAAATCTTTTTTAAAATCCATTTCAATGAAGGTCAGAGTCGACCATACAACAAAATTTGATTAACTGAATCTTCAATGCCAACATCTATTGCTGAAAACACTGAATGAATTACTTCGCTTTCCATCTCTATCAAAAAGATACTTCCTCACAACCCAACCAGCTTTATACTCAATCTGATCATCACTACTTATTGTCGATCGTGATTTTGATAGGGTCTTTTTTTTCTTTGTTTCATGAAACTGTGTAGTAGTACCATCCGCTCCTGATATGTCATTAGGCGACATCTTTTCCAGCTCACTGCAATAGTATTTTTAAAAAAGCAGGAAGACAACGATTCTTCAAATTTGAGGCTGATTGTTCTTAATCAATAAAAAAATCTTACCCAACCCATTTGATAGGCTGCTCCTTGATAGCTACATATAAAGTCTTCAACAGAGAGCAATCGAAAATATGTTCTGTGTAGCTCAGATTATCTACGAAATCACGACTAGACATCCGTCTTCCAACATTCTGCAGAAATGAAATTTTGAAATGGAGCTATTGAAATGTAGAACACCTAAGCTGAAATGAATAATGAGAAGTATAAAACCATTTTTGATCAAAACGCTATAAAATAGCGGTGTTTTTGGCTAAATATATAAACATTCAGGAAAAATAACTCTATATAAATAAGACAATTACAGTAATCCCATACCGGACCATGTAAATCCGAGTTCAGCATCAGCAAAGCACAGGTAAGTGCATGAACTTGGTCTAAAATTCAAAATCTTGAGCAATCCAACATCAGTGAACATTAGCACATATTCAGAGCACCTTATACTTATTCTTATCTCTAGAAAGTCAATATCATGTAACTGCATTTCAGTTATGGAAGACTAGTTCAGTCCATTGTCTACAAAGATATCTTGGTCCACTGTCTATAAAAATATCTTGCTAAATCTAAAGTAACCGTTCCTATCCAAGAAAAAAAAAATATAATGAACCGCAACCTACTAATATTCTAGTGACTTACCTGCACTTTTGAACAATGTTGGATTGCATTCATAATAACGCTTCGCGAAATGCTCGGTAACACGAGTTCTTTCCTGAGTTTCACCCGTAAGACAAAATCTTGAAAGGAAATCCCGTAGTGCTGCATCCAAACGAATGCCAGAGAAATTGAACAAGGCACAATATTCTTCGGCAACGGATATACCAAATTCATTTCTAAATTCATCATAAATGAAAAATGTATTATGTTCTTGCTGCTGTTTTACCGCTTATTTCATAAATAATACAAAAGCTATATTCATATTAGCCTAAAATTTGTTCTTTATAAAAATGTAGGAACAAGAAAATTCCTTATGAGCAAATATCTTTTTAGTGAGTGTCCTTTCCCTGTAAATCTATTCAGAAGTTTCTTGATACTCATTGTTTTTTCCTTCATATATTTTTCAGAAGTTTTACATTTTTGAGCCTCTGCTGCAATCTGTAAAAAATAAACACATCCCGAAATCTGAACAAAACCTGACAGGCATTCATGCCAGTGGATATACAATTCTTATTCTTCAAAGCAATCAGATCAAAAAAAAAAAAAATACGTTTTTGACAAATGGACCACAACATCTTCCCTTCTGAAACCATCTAATATAAAAAGTCGTTTAGCAAGACGCACAGGTGCCTCAGCATCGAATTCCGTCCTCCTATCGTAATCTAAACAAGTTTACTGAACAAAACTAGCCATATTTTTATTAATCACAAAAAAAAAAAAAAAAAAAAATTTGCCTGAAGGAGATGGACATCTGATTGTTGATACAAAATTGTTCATAACGGGAGCAGACGATTTTGAAGGGCTATTTGGTTCACTTCGACTAGTTTCCAACGATTTTGTCACAGCCACATTTTCAACTTTCGGACTACGTGGAGTTACTGCAGAATTACTGCACGACAAAGAACTAGAAACAGTTGCAATAGATCCACTCGCTTCTGCTGTACAACTTAAGTTATTCCTATCCATATTTACCGTCACTGATGAATTCTTCTCTTCGATCCCGATATCCTGAAACAACCGAATGATCCTTATTTCTGGTCGATTGATTTCCCGCTGCGGTCGATATTGCAGTGATAGAACACCCCATTTTACTATCTCTCAGCCTTCTGCTTCCTAATGATTTTCAATTACAATCATCCAACAAAAAGGAATATTAAAGAAAACCTGGAGATACTGCTTCTCGTGGAGTCCATTTTCAGATTGTGATGCAGGAACCGCAGATTCTGGATTAAATCTCCTACTTCTCGATTTTTCTTGCATTGTTGACGGAAAATCGTCAAATGGTTTTCTAGGTGCGGGTAAGTCTGCCTTTTCAGTTGTTGGTGGCAGCTGTTCGAAATGCATCTATAAACAAGTCTAATGTAAACTTAATCCAAAAAAAAACTGGGAAAAGACGTTCTGCTATATAACAGCTTACAACAAACATTGCTAAAGACTTACAATCTTTAAATGACGATCTGAAAAGACAAAAATCGGATAAAATATTCTTAGGGATAGACTTTAACAAATTTTTATACTATTTTTAATGCACCTGATTATTTATTCCTTGTAATAAATTTTTACAGAACAATTCTAAAGCAGCATTTCACTAGCAAATAACCTCGGCGTATCGAGGAGATATTTTATGGTTCAAACTGATCATTTTATCACCGGTCATCAAAAAGAATTCAGAACGTGGTGCTCCATTCTTTAGCGAATTCTCCGACATCTTTTTCGGGTCGAGTGGAGACCTTATTAAATCATGTCCAAGGAGCACCTCTGTCATACCTACAAAAGTCCTCATTAATAAACATACAACATCGGTTAAAAATTGTACCTTTAATAGGCTACAGGAGCAAATTTTACACATAAATCAGAATTTAAGATTTATTCAAACATGCACAAGATGCTTGAAAAACTGAAAAGCGTTAAGAAAAGAATTCAGATTCCAATGTACAGTTTGATGGTTCTTTACGGTAAAAAATGGAAGTGGAGAATAACGATAGAATATAATAGCATATAAGGCACATTTCAGCTCTCTCCACAAAATAATGAATAAGTTCTGTAGAAAAATTTTTGAAATTGAGCAGAAAAGAGTGAAATTACAATAACAAGCACGGCTGACGAAACGGCTGACGAATGGACAAATCTAGTCAGGAGACGACATAAGTCTCGTACAACACTTTTAGCCCCTAATATTAACTATTCAACTATACAACTACAAAACTCTAACCAGGGACCGAAAATCTTAACAGTAAACATTGTTAGTCTCTTCCAACCAACTCAGAAAATTACAAGAAACGTTATGCCAAACGCGGAAAGCACCCAATAATCTATAGATATCTCTGTAAGATTTCATAAAACCTTACACGGATGTCTTTACGTAATGCAGGTTTTCAACAAGCGGCATATATGAAATGTGGATCTGAAATATGTCTTTATTTTTTCGAAAACACTGTAGATCACAACTCCTGAAACAGTAAGTTTTCATCCAGAAAAATTTACATTTCTCAACAGTAATAGAGAAGCCTGCAAGTGTAGCTCAGCCAACTACATTAAATCAATAAGTTTACGCAACCAGGTGAAGTTTTAATTTATGCTATAAATAATTGTTAGCAATCTCACTGGTACATAAACTGCATAGTAAACAAAGTCCTAGATCTACTACTTGAAAGTTTTAGGTTACAAGTTTAGGGATGATGGAAATCATAAGAGCAAATGAAAATGTGATCTTCAGAAAAAGTGAAGGAGTAATCTTAAATGATACGCAATAGTACGTAGCACAAAAGAATATGCAATCAAAAGAATGAAGCGATGATTTACAGATTCAGTTTGCATTTGTCAAAAAATCCACTACAATGAGAATCGAATGTTTTATGGTCTCACACTGCTCGTCAAAACAAGCAAATTACTACACCAACATCTTCTCTCACCCACAAGCAGTCGTTGTTAAGCCTTATCAGTTGCAAAGGAGCCCTATTAAAGAGACCCGTGCTGTAACGCAGCACTCTCACCGACTGCTGTCATCCAATGGGCAATGTTTCTTGCTGAAGTTACATTTCTAATCACTTTTGTAATACTATTTCACATTCAACAGCAAAGAAGGCATTTTCATCCCATCATTTGTTGTTCACAACTTCCGTCAAGCCTTTAGGATTTTCATCGTGGCTGTACGAGTGAACTTCATAACATGTAAACTTTCCCTTAGCTTAACTTTACGTCAGACATATTTTTATGTCATGGTCTTAAAAAAATTATAACATAACTCAAAGCAAGTTTTGTTGCCAAATACCGAATGGTCAAGAAGTCCACTGAGAAGTCAACAAATTGATACGATTTTATATGCTCGAAATGTAATCAGTCTTTTGCGACCTTTTCAAAGTGGTCAGTTAACTGATGATGATTCAAAAGCTACTGCATCCTTGTGTCATGTTAAGTGAATTACACAAAAGAATGAAATCCAATACATATGCACATCTTGCAGATATGATGACCAAGAACATAACGTACAAGAACATCTGCATTCTGAATTTGATCTGTTAGCACCTCTGACCATCTAACCTCATAAAATACTTCGTGAACGTGTAAGACTTATTCCATACAATATATTCTGTCGTTTTTATCAGCTTTTCAAACAAACTCACAATTCGATCTGTGTTGAAAATGCTAAATGCTATATTTAATTTTTCTTATCTAGTGCACCTTCTCCCAAGTTATACTCTCTCCTTCTGCAATTGTGTTAATTGAGTTTTACTCCAATCTTCCGGTTAATTGAAAATTCCTTGTTTCAATGTATTTGTTTGCACATAACACCCAAATGTGCATTTATCGATAATATATGCTTAATTTCTATATTTAATTTTTCTTATCTTGTTCACCTTCTTCCAAGTTATACTATCTCCTCGTGTCCGTTGTCTCAGAAAGCATTGCACTGTGGCGTGTATGTATGTGTATGCCGTTCTCTGATTCCTGATTTGATAGCCACTTTGGTATAAATGATCTGATTTCATGGTGTCTTACCTACCCTTGCCTGCTGAACTGCATTGTGATACACATCGTCAGCGCGAAACTCTAGCATTCAACTAATAAATATGGATAAGTGCAGCATGCTGCATTCATTCACTTAGTTTTTTTTTTTCTTTTTTCACATTTCATAATCGACAAACATTAATGCACCAAATATAAAAAACAAAAATCACTTCATTTTGTTAAGACTGATGGATCCGGTTAAATTTATTTATAATAACTACCTTCGGATTTCAAAAATTTCGTTGCTGTATGTTTTGATGGTCAGCAACGGGGCTCACATAAGTTATTAAACTGAAAGGAACTGAATGCAAATGTGGATGGAAAAAAATCTCTTCCCTCTTGTATTAATCGCGCACTAGTAAAAGAAAAACGGAGAATTGGTCAGAATATCTGGCAAATATTAGAATGCTTCTACTAAGGAATAGAAAAGCAGGGACTGCATTACCGGATTTATGGAAAGCAAGTTGCAAAGTGGGGATGGATTGCTGACATTACTTGAAAAAATCTAATTCATGAGATTAAGGAACGGAATAGAAGCGAGAACAAATCAGTTTTTTTTTTCCGCAGCAAATCACCTCACATCAATTTTGGATTAATTTTATGTTTGAATGCTATGTTTGGATTAATTCTGGATGGGAACCGTTATCCCTAAATTCTTTTCAAAACTTCTGTTAAGAATCTTCTGCCAGGATGAAACTGATTCCTGCAGGAACCATAGTAGAAGGTTGAAATGATTAGGATCCTAGCAGTGTTACAATAACAGGAAGGTTCAGGAATGAGAAGAGGGAGGAGAAGAGAATAAAGTTATCTGAATTAAAAAACTAAAAGCAGGCAAATCTAGAAAAGGAGAAAAAGTTAAAGTTAAAATTTTAAAGTTTTTAAAATTAAAGTTAAAATTGAAATTTAAAAGTTTTTAAACCTCCAAAGGTTAAGGAATTTTTCAAATTGATTTTGTATATACAATATCTTGAGTATCAGATTGAATAAATTGAAATTATTCTCTCGTTCGCTTTGCTCACGATTTTCCGCCAACTTAAGTGAGCTGCAGAGTTTATTGGTACACTGGATGTTTAGAGAAATAGGTAGATGCCGAACTGCAGCCAGGTAATAGTAGATAAAATAGTTCAAAGCATTTTACACATACACACATAAAATACCATACACAAACATATTCATATTTTAACCACTGACCAATCTGTAAGATAGCAGAGACAAACTTCCTTTGCAAATGTAATATCAGTGAGTGGATTCCTGATGCTCCAGTTAAAACACTCCTCCCAGATGTCGTTTTTACTGCTTAAATCCCATTAAAATACTAGATTAATCAAGGAAAAAGGAATTTCTTGTTAGACGACATATATTTTTCACATTACTAATCGGATGAATTCAGACCAATTCCTTAAATTATTGTTAGTAACAACTTCAATCAGTTCATGGCGTTCACGAAAAAATAACAACCAACAAAACCGCCCCCAGGTCGCTTGGTGTTAAGCTTCATTACTTTCTTTTTAGACTTTAGTTTCCTGAAATAGTAACATTTAAAATCAGATGGACGCTGTAATGCTCCTAAAAAATATCTTGTTTCCTCGTGAGCTCTCCTCCATCCTAAAATCCGGTCTTCAATGTAGTATAGTATTTCCTCATTTTTCGGAACAAGAAGTATTTTAGAAAGAAAACATTAAAAGATTACAGAAGTCACTTACACCATAGTCCAACTAAAGCCTTTTGGGACAGACAATTCCTTTTAAAACGCTTTGTTTTGTTGAACAAAAATAAAGAAACGCTATAACAAATCTAATGACAGTGAGGGTAGGTCGACTCCCCAGATGATTTGAGCAAGCTGAGAATATGTCGCATATTAAAACTGGCTACGACCAAAATGCCCAGGCTAATGTATTATTGGATTTCGGATTATTTAGGAATGTATTCTTGATGATAACATGAAAACACTGCATTATAGAAGTGAACGTGCAATGTATAACTTTCACCACGAATCCATGATACTGGTAACAAGATTTCAGTTCTCATTAAAGATGCAACTGCATATTCGTATCTTCTTGTGAAAAGGACACGGAAATAGTATAAATGCGAACATAGCATCGGTAGTTTCAAACTTCACTTCTAAACATACGACAGGGAACTTTTTAGAATCCACAAAGCAAAACGATAAAGAAGAGATCTGAAACTTTTGTGCACTAAAATCCGAATTTCTAAAGAATTAAAAAAAAAAAGAAAGATATATTAATATCAAGAAATAGAGGAAATACAAAGTGACATCAGATACAAATATAATTTTGAAATCGCCGTGTAGTTCACAATTTTACGTCATACTACTATTTAATCATACTTTTGCAAGCTGTAAAGCTACATAATCTCTCCTATAAGTGATGAGACGATTACGTCAAACATTTACATCGCCAAATTATTCGTGCGATGTGATAAAAACGACACAGTGATATGAGTGCAAATGAAAAAAGATGGAGTAAAATATGACTGAAATGTGGTACTTGAAATACAATATAACCAGCGTAAACTGACAACTTTAAAGCAAAATATGAAAATAATTAAAACCATAAATAGCCAAATGCATAAGAGATGGTTAGCTCAGGCTGGACCCTGTTTCTGAGCTGGAGTCGGCTGTCCTTTCTTGCTCATTAGGTAACGATGAATATGCGGAATCACACCTAAAATAAGTAGACACTGCAATGAATAACAAATATAATATGCGAAATCATTTAAACCGACCAAAGTAGTATTAAATTTCAAAAAATTTCGCCCTTCATCCTTCCAGTTTCTTTTTGTTTCTACCGACAGATGTGACAGTTTTAGAGGAAAAACACCCGACCTCCACCAGCAATAGTGGCTTTTATCAGTGTGTCTAGTTCCTCATCGCCTCGTATTGCCAGATGCAAGTGCCTCGGTGTGATCCTTTTCACTTTCAAATCTTTGGAAGCATTGCCTGCCAGTTCCAGTACTTCAGCAGTTAGATATTCCAGGATTGCTGCACTGTAAACAGCTGCTGTAGCACCAACACGTCCGTGTGATGTGGTTCTGCAATTCGACTTAGATTTCTAAAAGTACTGTAAAAGTGTAAGTGAGGAAAATCTAGTACGAACATGACCAGAAAGTTGTAGAATTGCAACAAATCAGTTGGTAAGAGAATGAGAAACTTCACAGCAGATATTCCAACAGACATGAAAACTTAATATAATTAAAGAAAGAGAAAGTAACTGCTTCGCTTTTAAATCTTTGGAAGCACTGTCCATCAAAAAATATACCTCTGTTTTAGGAAGCGATGAATACGTCCAACAGGGAACTGCAAGCCAGAACGTGCACTTCGCGATATGACTTTACCCTTAGATTTGCCAGAATCCTTGCCTGCTTTGCCTTTACCTCCAGCCATAACGTAGGTACTGTAAAACCGTTTAGATTATCAAGCACCACATAGTATACTGCTCTTTACACGCAACAATTATGATTTTAATATCGGGTAGTTCATTAGTTACCCGATATTAAAGCCGAAAACAAAACAAAGGAAACTAATGAATTATTTGAATGACCGGAAGATAGCTCATGATTTTTCACTTTACTGTTGAACATAATGTAATCATAATACGGAGTGCGCGTTGTTAAGCTGCGGGTAAATCGTCAGGATTTTACCATCAGGAAATACTGTACAGTGGGAAGGCTGGAAGCCCCTAATGATTTTCGAACTCAACACTTGAGATGAGACATGAGAAAGTAAGCATGTGGAGCACACGAACGAGAAGTTTGGCAACCACCCTTACTTAATCGGAGTGTAACACCGAAATCAACCAATTTATGCAGTTTCTGTGATCTATGCTAGATTCATAACGGACAAACTCTTGAAAAAATTATTTGTGATCTGCGTCTCAATATGACCGAAATTAAGGAAAGATCAACTGAAATTTCAAACAAAACGAATTTATCACTTTCTTATCAGTAGAGTTTGCCCTCATACACTGCACAGAAGCTAGTATTAAAAATGACAATCGACCTGAAATGAACTTCTAACGACAACAAATATTGCAAATCACATACAAGGTAGACACAGCACTGTCCACATTATTTCACAACCGCGCCGGAGATGGCTTAGCATGCTGTTTATGTCTCCGTTGTAGACGAAATGCACGGAGAAAACGGAGAAGCTGAGAAGAAGAGAGGAACTGGGAGAGGGAGAGGGAAGATGAGGAGAAAAGGAAAGAGTAAGGGAGAAACAGATGGGTGAGCGTGTTCCCGCCATGACTTTGTACGAACGACGTTAGATCGATATTTGCGTACTGGGAGATGCCGGGAAGGTGGGACAGTAATGGAGCAGTGAATGCTGACTGTAAGTGTCAGTCATCGGGGTTTTTTGCAACAGTCAGTGATCACTCTTTTTAGTCCATCTGTTGAAGAGAGCAAATATCTTTCAAGCTAATAAAGTGAAGTGCTAAAATAGTAAATGAGTCGTTAGATTTCTTTAGAACTGACGTTCAGTAGGGGCAACTCAACTCATGCACTTGTAGAAGATGAGAAGCTCAGATACTGAAAAGAGGTGGACACAACGGGTCAACATTCAAACAAAGAAATGAGTGATGCAAGGGTCATCTGTGTGCAAATGACCCTCTATCGAGTGAGAAGTGACCTCGATCCTATTTTCTTCTACCTGTTGCACTGTTAACCCGTTCTGCCCGTCTTCTTTTCAGTATCGAAGCTTCTGTCGTTATAAGTTTTTTGTTTTTTCATCTTGTTTTATTCGTAAACAAATTTGTTTCCTTCACAGTTGCATATTTCCGTTTAGCGATGTCCCTTCAGATGTATTTTACAAATTACTAACCTCTAATTAACTCACTCTCTTTGAAATATATTCCAAGAAGAGTAAGTCGAATTTCATGCTTAAAAACTTTTTCAGTGGCACATTTCAAGCTAATTTATGTTATGGAAAAAATGACATCTTCTGCGGATATGATAGCTTGAAACAAGCTTTCTCGTCAACACAAAGTCAAATCACTCTTTCGGAAGAGCATCTAATAACGACAAGCACTATCTGGAAACAACCATTCCTTCATTTGACACAATATCAGATTGCTGCGGATATCTGCAGATTGAAAGCAGTAGAACAAAAAGGGGAAAAATCTTCTTAATGGATTAGTCCACCAATTCATTGACAGTTGACATTATGTCGATAGCACTACCTTCTTGGGTACTAATACATGTTTTTGCAGTTTCCAAACAATAACCCTAGAAATGAGCTCATCAGAAATTCGTGTCAGAAAAGTATGGTTTTAAAGCCAATCTTCAAAAACATCTTTTTCATAAGGGAGAGATGCTCTTTCTAGCTCTGAATAGACTATCAACCTGCATGTGCTCGTTCTTCCAAGTATATTCGCCGGATTAAGTAATCTAACACTATCGTTCAGTGATCAGCAATCTAAAACTCCTCGCATACACATTGCCTCGAAGGTAACAGAAAAAAAATAATTGCCAATTAATGGCTTCTCATAGCAAATAGATCAGTTTGACTGACTTTCAGGTTTTGTTTTGTCTCCTGTTGTTTTCTTCTAATGTTTGAAAATTTTTGATGCGGTGTACAGTGCCCAAAAATTTGGACGATGATGTCACAAAGGGTGGTAGGTATGGCGATTTGCACTGCTATGAAATTTCTGATTAAAAGCTAATCATGGCTTACACAATTATTTTATGATCTCAACTTTGCTCATTAAGTAAGAATAAAAACAACTGCAAATAAAGAGTGGAAAGAGCAACTCTTGACCAGACATTTTCAATCAAAAAATCACAAAATTAATGAGTAAAGTCTCCTGTTTCCTGTTACGGTTTCAGGAACATAGGCGCAAATTCGAGGCAATCTGCGTACCTCATCAATTTGTGAAAATTTTGCACTGGAATTTAACGGCAGGCAAATTCTAATCACTTTTACTCACTTATTCTAATCACTTAAATCACTTATCACTTATTCTAATCACTTAAAATCATTTATTCACTTATTCTAATCACTTAAAGATTTTCGACATTTTTTGACAAATATAAAGTCTCAACTAGCAGCACCAGCATACTAGTACTTTAATGGTTTTATACAAGAAAGAATAATCAATATTATTTGACATGCATTTTTTAATGGGGAGTTACGAAAAAACGCTTTTCTCGGTTCGCAATTAGCAAATTTATTTTTTATTAGTTTTTCAACACACTTTTTCCGTTTCCTCCTTCGGCGCCATAATAATTATTCCATCTTCTGGGTAAAATAACTAAAGTGTTTATAGTAAAATGTTCTTTATATTAATAGAATGATGCCTATTGAAAACCCTTTTTAAAAAGTAAATATAAGGCTGAATGTTTTAACCAATGCTTGAAAACTAATACGAAACTAATTACTGAGCATAATGGGCAACTTATGACAAGCTCAGCGAACTACCATCTGTTCCATGAAGCACATTTTGGGGCACAAGGATGTAACATTAGATCCCGCGTAAAACTGACAGGCCTTCAGGAACTGGTGAGCTTACAACAGCAATATTTCGTCCTAAAAGCAACTAAAGTCAGATATTTGCTTAATGTCGCAATAAATTCATGAATTCGGAACCCCTTAACTTACGACTTGCGTAGTAAGATGGTTCTCTGTCAAAAGCAAACTGTGAACTGTGAACGGAGTTTTTCCCCACACCACTGCTAGCATGTTCTTTATTAACAAAAGAAGAGGTGGTGATAAACTGTTGAGGACAACGGACATTCAACACACTGGGTCGAAAATTTCCTCATTTCTGTGTAGACAGTGCAAAATGTGTAGACACCAGACCAATTTGCAATATAAAATGTCGCTCACCTGGCAATTCTAACGGTGAGGTTTTTAATTCGTAGTAACATTTTCAGCTACAACTCACATAATCATAGAACGACCTGACCCCACCTAATCACATCATGCTCCAACCACCATAAGTACTACCTGAACTCTTATTGAACAATGAATTATGTTATATCCTTTTCTATTATACCCTCTTCTATCCTTTTCTATCCATATTGCCTTTCCTTCTTAATCTTTCCCTTTAAATTAGCAAAATGTCATAACGCAACATTACAGATGGAAAAAAAAAACGTCCACAAAAAGCTAGCATAAGCCATACTTTGCGAATGACAAGTGCAAACATAGACTGAACTTTTCGTATCGTTTATTGTTAACGAAACAGATAAGACATTTCTGCTTAATGAATAAACAGAAAATTATTCTTGGTACGGAAATAAAATTCAAATGAAAAGGATCAAAAAGAAACAAGCAACAAAATGCCACGACTTGTTGTAAACAATTTCTACTGAAAATCAGTACTCTTCGCCTTCGCCTTCACCTTCCAACGAATCAATTCCCACCTTCAAAAAAGAAATAAGTACTTTTCTAAGAAAGCTTACTAAAAAAATATTTAAATACGAAAGCAGAGACTTCAAAGGCATCAAGAAAATGCTTTTAAAAATAACTTTTAATTTCAAAGGCAGATTATAATGCTTAAACCTCTTCATAGTCCTTCTCGAGAGCTGCCAAATCCTCTCGCGCTTCTGAAAACTCTCCCTCTTCCATGCCTTCTCCGACATACCAATGCACGAAAGCCCTCTTTGCATACATCAAATCAAATTTGTTATCAAGTCTTGCCCACGCTTCCGCTATTGCCGTCGTATTCGCAAGCATACAAACAGCACGAGGTACCTTTGCCAGATCACCACCAGGAACAACTGTAGGTGGCTGATAATTTATGCCAACCTAAAAGAACTAGGATTCCCATATATATATATATATATATATATATATATCAATTAAGATAATTTGAGACTCAACAGCATAGTCTAAAACATACTTTGAAACCTGTTGGACACCAGTCAACAAACTGAATGGTACGCTTCGTCTTAATACTAGCGATGGAAGCATTCACATCCTTCGGTACAACATCACCACGATAAAGAAGGCATACCGCCATATACTTCCCATGTCGAGGATCGCACTGAAAGATTGGCGTTTCCAAACCTTATTGAATTTGACAGCGCTCTTTCTCCCCGTGCCACACAGACAGACAAAATATACACTTTTTTAATCTTCAAGTACAGTGGAATCAGTCAAATACCATCAGCTACGTCTTACAAATCCCCTGAAGTCAAATTCTAAGGCTGCAAAAATAAGCATATCGCTTTTATTATATATATATATAATAATCAGAGAAAGCACTAACCCAATACTCAAAAAAAAAAAATGACACTATAAACGTCATCAGGTCACTTTACCAGTTGCGAACACCCCTTTCGTGTTATTTCCGTTTTTTTTTTCCCTCCCCGCCCCCTTCTTGTTTACCCTATCCTCATTGCTTCTATAAGTACACGTTACAAGACCAACCAACTTTTAAGCGAGATGTGTGGCACAAAGTTCATCATAAACATTTTCTAGCTTAAAACGCTGAAGGCATTTCTTTCCGTAACACACACTCCTCTAATACCGATAAAAATGCAGCAACGATTTCTTTCATCTACGGTAAGGAAATATTCTTACTTTAACCATCTGATTAGCTGGTTCAAAGCATGCATTTGTGATGTCTGCTACTGAGAGAGATTCATGATATGCTTTCTCCGCAGATATAACAGGTGCATAAGTAGCCAAAGGGAAATGAATACGAGGATAAGGTACCAAATTTGTTTGGAACTCCGTAAGATCCACATTCAGGGCACCATCAAACCGAAGGGAGGCAGTTATTGACGACACAACCTGCAATACTTCGATTTCTTAATTATGAATGTATATGAAACTCGCTAATAACTTACTCCACAAAAGTCTTTAACCATATTCTCCACTGAACTCATAACATCACACACTTTTCTTGAAATGCTATTGGTCGACTACAATGTGAACAACAGATCAGAACTACATTTTGTGTTATTGTAAAACCACCATACATTATAATTACAGCGAGAGCTTCATTGTAAACTACAAATCTCAGTAGACCTGCGAAATGAGCCGATTAAGATTTGTGTACGATGGTCTCTCAACATCCAAATTGCGACGGCAAATATCATAAATAGCTTCGTTATCAACCATAAACGCGCAATCAGAATGTTCAAGAGTAGTATGGGTCGTAAGTATAGAATTGTATGGTTCTACAACAGCGGTAGAAACTTGCGGAGCTGGATATATCGAAAATTCCAATTTACTCTTTTTACCGTAGTCAACAGATAATCGTTCCATCAACAGTGACGTAAAACCCGAACCAGTTCCGCCACCAAACGAGTGGAAAATCAAGAAACCTGAAAATAAATACAACACGGATAGAAAATCATTCAAATACAATGTACTTTGTAAACTCATATATGCTTATCATAAACAATATATAGACAAAGTGTATTAATCGCACCCTGTAAACCAGTACAATTCTCAGCCAAACGTCGGATGCGGTCAAGTACCAAATCAATCACTTCTTTCCCAATTGTGTAATGTCCTCGTGCATAATTATTCGCAGCATCTTCTTTACCGGTGACCATCTGCTCAGGATGAAAAAGCTGCTTGTATGTTCCGGTTCTGATCTCATCTAAAGTTCATATTTCATTCACAGATATTCTATTAGACATTTAAAACTTCTAATGTAAACTGTTATGCCACATACTTACCTACTACTGTTGGTTCCAGATCAACCATAATTGCTCGCGGGACATGACGACCAGTCCCCGTCTCTGAGAAGAATGTTGAGAACGAGTCGTCAATTTGGCTCTGTTTATCTGATGGCATACGTCCATCAGGTTGAATCCCGTGCTCCAAACAAAACAATTCCCAGCAAGCATTTCCAATTTGAACACCAGCTTGGCCCACGTGTACTGATATCACTTCGCGCTAAAATAACTACGACTGATTCCCCTTTTCAGACATTGCAACAACTGCGACATAGTACAACAGTTACTGAAGTATGCTAGGAATGAAGCTTCCGTAATACTTCAACTGTCAAGTATAAAGCAGCAAATTATCATGCATGAGAAAATATACTTCAATTTTCTGTATATCTGGAAAGACACAAACATGCTACATTCTAAACGAGATAAAAAAGGAAAGAACTTACCATGGCTGTATTAAAACTCGGAAGTGTTAAGAATAATCGAGTTGAAATAGATGCAATGAATTCTGAAAACGACAAGATAATGTGAATATTCAGGACAGCAAAAACAAAAAAATTCTCTAAATTTCATGCTTTGGAATAATTTCCACTGAAATGGTTAGACTTTCAAGGATGTGAGAGATCCATATCAATTTGCAGCAATTCTTAAAAGTCTCATCCCGATTCTCGTTCTCATCCTTCTATCAAAAACAAAAGAATCAAGAAAACTCTCCTCTACGTACTTCGTTTAACGGATTATGAATGCTGCTTGGCTCTCCTCTTATGACTAAAAAATGTCTTCCAACTTAAATGCTCAGAAATTGTCTATGTAAATTTTCTAGTCCAAATATTTCTAACATTCCTTCCCGGCTACTTTAATTTTTTAACACTATATACCAACATAAATGACTAGTCCATGTTTTTAACACTGTTTTCGCCAAAATTTTTTCTTTACAGTGGGACCAGAAAACGTTGCCGTGTTTATTGCTTATCAACATTTCTATTCAAAACTTCCCATATGACGAAATTAATCCGTATGGAAATGACAACTTCAAAAAGATCAAGCTGACATTGATCAAAACTAGTCCAACCTTAACAACCAGTAACAGTAGTGCTACAGTTCATCCTCAACACAGTTGAGACAATGTAGTACTATCATAAAACAGTTTCATAGGCAGTACTGTTTCACCTTTTTGTATTTCGACAAAAGAAAATTTAGGTATCTGCAAAAACCTAGACTGTAGCACCCACACAAAAAAGATGTTAAGGACCACGATTCAAGTTTTCCTCATCACTCGCATATTATAAAATAGGGGAACAATATTTACAAAGCAATGACTCCTAAAAAAAGAGCAACTACACGGTGGATAGTGAGTTTCCTTCTACAGCTCAGTACTACCATATCCCAACCATCACCTCATCAAGCACCGCACCCAATGCCATCTCCATCCTCTCCGACCGACTCCCAACACCACACTATTGATGTCCGACCTATACTGCCAACACTGACGACAGAAAACACCTCTCTCTGTCCGCCTCGCTCCCTTGCCGTAACGATCAATGAATAGATGAGTCACAAAGAGAGATAAGGAGATGTCATGGTGACCACAAAAAGAACAACCAACCCGCCTTCCTTTGCCTGCCTGTCTGGACAGCAAAGGTTCATCATATAGCTTCTAACAAGTTTTAGAAAACGATCCGGGCCAACGGACGAACGCAAGAAAAAGGAAGCAGAGAGGCAGGGTACAAATGCCATATCCCGCCAACAGTTATATATCTAACCTTCACACGTGCGTTGCAACTCGTTCCACTATCGCTAACATGTGCTCACGGTTGTATGCGTATTTCTTTCATACAAGTATTATGTTACGGGAGAATGAGACAGGGAGTCACAGGATAAGTATTCTCTTTTGGCTAGTCCTCATCAGTGCACAGGTAAAAGGATTAATGCTGATTAATGTTAATGGAGAATAAGTGATGATCCATGGGTGAAAGTGGAGTAAGGGCGACAGTTCTGCAAGGCAACAACGCGACGGTCCAAGTAAGAAGCGTCAGTAAATTGCATCTCTGAACAACCTATTCAGGAAGATAGCTAATTAGCTAATCATAAAGTTAATGGCAAAGGTGCTCATTTTACGATATTTGCAGATATGCTCAATGTACCATAGCATGTTTTTCAATCTCCTGCACACAGCTAACTCCAAAAAATACCATACCGTCATGATTAGTCCACACAGTTAAGACGGTCACAAGTTGATCTCATGACTATGTCAAGGAGGACTGAGAGATGTACTTGTAGAAATCGATTAACTGCATCTCTAGATGACACAGCTCTGGTCAGAAACTGATATGAGTGGCTGGAGACAATGCTACAGTGGTTTCAAAAATCCAGTGACGTCAGCGAAGAACCAGAAAGACGAAACAAGAACACCTCCAAAATTACTGTGAACCCAACAGTATCACAATATGACTTACAACCAATGTTCCGGTATCCCCCTGAATTCAATTCAAAAATGAATGCAGTGCTGAAGTGGCAGATTTCCGACCGAGAAATACAAATGACCAGGAAAAATGGCTTCTTATCTGTTGACCATTTCCGATCCAAAATCCGTATATTCCAATGGTCCCCATGCTAGTAAAATGGAATATCGCACATTACGAACACACACCATTGTTGGTGCAGTCTCAATTGTCAATACAAAGAAATACAACCTCTAGCAACAATTTCAATTTAAACGACAACGGGTGGCACATGATCATAACAGAGAAGTGAAAGTATATCGAAAGACCATGCCCAAACCATAACCATTGAAAGTATAACCGAAAACCTGCACAGATACGCTACTAAATATGACATATCAATAATGTTTATTTCCCAGATCACAAAGTCTCAAAATTGAAGTCTACTCCAATTAGTATTATAACTGAATTACAACTGTTCCCTATGTAGGATCGCTGAACATTGGCATATCAAAAGAAAACCACTGAAAATTTCACATAGGAAATTCTCATATGGAACTAACTTAAACAAGACATCTAAAAGAACAAATAAGACAATCAGACACATATCCAACGAAATGCCTTTTCTTTTTCAAAATACAAAATATTGCAAAAAAGCTCGCTTCTTGAAACGGAACATGAATGAACACATATGTATGTACGTAAATATGCGCATTCGCATATGCAATAATTCCAAATAAAAATCAAAAATTCTCAAGACTAGAGCAGTCCTGCTCACATTATTACATAGTAAACAAACAATAAAATGCCTGCCATCTCAAGACGGTTTCTTATGGCCCGAGAAGCAAGAAACTATTAGCTAATAAGAATCTGCTGCTAAAAGAGTTCATAATAAAACTATCGATAGAGACCATATGATTAACAACGACGCTGCTTATAATGTATAAAAATATAAGACGAGCACTAAGCTACAAATTTGCTGGAACCATGCACCTGACGATAGAACTAATAGTTTAGAGTAAGCAGTTAGATATTAGGCTAACTCCAATACAATAGCATGAATTTATAAACTAACGAAAACTCACTCCAGTAAAATTTTATGACGTAGCAAAACGGCAAATTCAAGTTTATTATTGAGGTACTTTATAATGATTGACATCTGCAAGCAAAAATGAAACAAAAATAAGAATTAGGAATGAGTGGAGGATGGGATTATTAACATCAACCCAAAATAATAATGGATGCCTCACTTTAGCACACAAGAAATCTGTGTGGTATAAGACTAACAGATCTTTAAGGAAAATAGCACTTCTACTATTCCTAAGCTGCGTATGAGGAACACAATAATTGCGGTACAAAATAATTCCGAAAGAGCTCAACAATTCAACATTACAAACTTTGTCAAAATAACATGATAATCATTCTTTATTATGCTCCAACTTAATATCCGACTTGATCGTCCGTTCAGTATCATTTTCGACTCCTTTTGTAGCCATCATTTTTTCTTGCAGTTCCGCTAGAACATCTCGAAAAGCTCCCCAAGAGCTCATCGGCACTGCAATTGAAGAACGACTTCCAGAAATCTGCTTAACCTAAAAATTGAAGTAATAAGGCACGATAAGACAGGAGGGTTGAGCATGTTTGAACAGAAAGACTGATAATGACTAAATTCAAAAAATAAAAAAAAAACACCTCGGATATACGTACAAACGTGCCACGCTCATTATGCCCAACATCGAAATAAAAAATTTTATTATTTTCAGCGCGTACATGTTTCGGTTCGGGCAACTCTACGTTTGCATCACTCTATAAAAAAATTGTAACATATGTGAAACATAAACTATGGAAAAGTAGTGAAATCGCGGAACTCTCAATACTTCCTCGCAATTACAACGAAAGTTAAGAACTTACTTCATTAAGATATCCCTCTGCATATTTATCAATCAGTTCATTCAATGCATCGCGAAGCTGGGTCATGCCAGGTGCAGGTAATGCTATCTACAAACATATTTAAACGCATCAGTCATCACCAGTGCTTGCTTTATCATCACTTTGTTAGCTCTAAATCATAAACATTTAGAAAACTCACTTGTAGACGAGGACCTGAGCTGCCTCGCGAAACTCTTTGAGAAACACGTAAATAACGCCCTCTTTGATTTTCTTTCAAACTAAGGTAATATCGACGCGACTCGTGAACGATTATTTCTGACTTCAACTGCCCATTTTCACTCACAATCGGCTCATTACCAGAAGCTGCAGTATGCAATAAATCAGTTTTGGTCCTTTTTTTCCATTAAAATTTACTAACAAAAAGTAAAAGAATAACAGCAATGTATCTCTGATAACAGCGATGTAGAGTCGGCCAAACAATAACCTCAGTATCCGCGAAATTCTTCAGAACAAATTCTAATTTCTTCGGGACTTTCTGCCCTTCTCTTTATATTGAAAAATTTCTGTTCCAATAACTTAACAGAAATAAAGTTCCCACTTTTACTACGCTGATGTTGAGGAAAACATTTTAACCAGTACAGAAGTAATAAACTTCAATAATCGCATAAGCTTGGAAAAGAAAAAAAAAAAAAAAAGAAACACTGACAAAGATGAAACATACGAAATACCTAGGCCATCAAAGAACTTGACAAATTTATCAAGATGATCACGAAACGCAACTGCTGCACTCATTGACAATATTAAACGGCTCTTTCGCCCTCCTAAGCCAACCTGAATTAAATCACACTGTAAGATGTCTGAGCACTAAAAACTTGAACAAGATTAGTCCCAAGGAGAGTTATGTGGAAGAGATTAGCACAACTTCTGATTAAATCAAACAGAAAATATTTGAATTTTTTTTTCCTCACAAAAGCATGATAATCTGAAATAACACGACTACTTTGCAACCTAACGCTAATTTATCTGCTGATTCAATTTTCGTGAACTCACTTCCGCAAGTTTGATAAAACGACCTCGGTTATTCTGCTTCACATCAACATAAAACCGTTTACTTTGCACCTGCAGCATTTTGCTTGCGAGTTCTTGCTCTCCATGTGGAGGGTGCCGATCATCACCACTACTGCCGTCTGACATCGCCAATTAACAAGATGACAACTACAAAATATATTAATAAAAACTAACATATACATGGAGAGAACCTACGACACACAACACCAACTAGTATTCCAAGACCTCAAACTTCTCTTGAAAAAAAAAGTCAGAAATAACCCAAGGCAATCCAGGCTTATAGGCAATGAATTAAACGAAATGGTTCTGCATCAGTATTGCAATCCACCTTGGGCACAGTAGTTTGCGCACACAGTTGATACACCAGTAGAATAGGCACTATGAAAACAATCCTACAGGTCTTACAGTACAATTAATGAAAGTTTGTCTCCAGAACCAAAAAAGTACATTGTATCAGCAGTAATATTGTGATCTAGATTAACATACCAGACAATTGACACTCGGGCACAATCTATCCAGCAACCGAGGCACGAACCCAAACGTACCACTCCGAGGATCCGAGGTCTTTTCTGAACTCCTCTGCCTCTGCAAACATAAATAAACGGATATGATTCACACGATCTTTTTTTCAAAAAAAAAAAAGAGAACCTTCCTTCATGAATTAGAAAGACACATCCAAATATGGGACAAAAAACACCTTTTAAACACAACCAACCGTCAATACATGTATAATATAAAAGTGAAAATTAATCCAGCCTACATATTCAACACCATCTTCACGAGTCATAACATACCACAGTTTTAGAATCGACACCAGAGTTAATACAGACTTATACCTTACGAAGCAAATATTGAAGCCTTAGATTTCCCCAGAGCAGTCAACCAAACAGTACGGAACACCAAACGACATTTTATTTGTAATCAAGGAACAATATTAGAGTGTTTCTTTGCAAACAGTCCCTATTCGAGAGATACATAACAAATCGCGCATTTAGCCTGTCCAAACCTGGTCAGCACTATCAGCCACAAGGTAAGCAGAGAATGTACTTCCGGTCACTACTCCTTCAGAATCTTATTAACATCTCAATTTGCTATGCCCTCCAAAACCTCTGACTACTCATTTTCCTACCCTCTCCCACGCAACCGAACACCACCTCCCACAGCCAGCAATCCAGATTTAGGCTGAACATTACGCACAGACAATCGATTGCGACTTATTCAGAAAATTCGATGGTTCGAGCTGTGCTACGTCGACCCTTTTTGAAAATTTTATTCGTGCTATGGGACAAAGCCCAGTCTGGAGTTTGAATAAGTGGTTATCGAAGGTAAGGACGAGAAATGCGAGGTTCTTCAAAACCACTGGATTTAACGGGATGGATGCACTGCCTATTTCTTACGCCACTCGAGTTTGCATGCAAGTTTTTTGGTTTAGATGAGCGCCACTGGCCTATCACTCATAATGTTGGTCTAGGTAGCATCTAAATCTTCTCACAGAACCAATCTAATTACCGAGAATAATTTTGCAGAACCATGCTATCTAGAAAGATGTTGGAAATGTTTTTGAAAACGTCCAATATTTTGCTTCCTTGCCACTCTATTTGGGATCCATCAATCAGTAATTACATTCAAACTGAACTGCTCTTTGGTTTTCATTTCGTACGAGTTTCAGCATGTATGCGTTCTTCACAGTCAGATTCATCAGGTTTCCAAGAGTACAATGTGGGACGATAATTTAAAAATGATTTTAAGCACGATTTCGTTGACTGAAATTAATCAGCTCATTTGCATTAGAAAACACGGCTACTATTTAAAGCCTTCCTAATCAAGTTCACATTCTTCAGCATTGTCATAACTATTTCGCAGTTAAAGTGAAGCGCCATTCAGATTATTGCTGACGTTAATGTCAGCCTCTTTTCAGGAAGAAAAGAAAACGAGCGATTGTGATACTACTCGTTCATATAAACGAAATGAAGCACTCACAGTTACGAGAATTAACTGGCAAGGAAATGCTTGCGACCAAATTCACGATTCCAGTCACATAATGCCACTCGGTCTGTTCATATCCCACTTCTCGCTCAAACATCATGTTCATTCCAGCTTTTTTATTAGTTGAGAAGTGCTAAACTGCTTGCTATTGTAATATCCTCTTACGTGTTGTACTTTTACTGCTAAGTCACTTTTCTCGACACGTATGCTTTATCAAGTCATTTTGCGTTCTTTATCTTAGGATTTTGTATTCTGTAGAAATCCCAAAACCACTGCACCTGTCGATTTTTTCAAATCCCTTGAAACAGCGTTTCGAGTCAAGGCTCGTAACATCAAGAAAGAAATGAATTGTAGACATTCTAAGGTCTCAGATTTATCTGCTGTGATTTTATCTTAAGCAAAGAGTGGATTCACAAAACCCAAGTACCGAAATGAAGGGGAAACAACCACAACTGTTGAATTTCTAAGCGAGAGATTTGCGTTTTCTAAAGAGTCTAATAAAAAAAAAAAACCAATAGTAATAAGATGGACAATTCTGATGCCGACTAATTAATAAATCATTGCTTTACAAAGAAAAAAAAGACAAAAGACAAAAAACCAGTAATAATTACTCTTTTAACAACAGAAATATCCCGACGAGCAATCTTATAATATCAACGGTATTCCGTATGCCAGAATATGCTCCACTGCCGGTGTGATTACCGTTACGCACTTCTGCTGCTAGAGCGAGACACTCTTTTGCTATTGTTTCATTGGTCTATCGAATGGATGGGTATTTCCTTGGCCGGAATTCATGAGTACTAATTTTACTTTGGCAGTGGCTACTATATTATTTGAAAAAAAGAATTCCATATGCTTATCAGTAATAAACGAATATGCTGTTGAAAACATATCGAGCAACTCTGCTAGTTGCGCTCACTTATGAGCGAGCTTACGATTTTGGTTGTCCTTCCGCTTCTTGCCTTTCTGGGATTGGTTCAGTTCAGTTTTTATTTTGACTAATTTCAAATAAAATGCCAATTATCTAGTAGGAGAGTGCAAATATCGATAGATGATTTGCAAATTAGTCTTTGTGTATAATCCAGTGACTAAGTGTTTTCCCTGCATATTCTTTAATTCTTTCCTAATTCATCTGCTGTTTCCTACTCTATTACCATTCAAATAAATCAGCCAAGGCTAAACAGGGTAACGAAAAGGTGTTAGACGTTGCGCTACCAAAAACAATTTGGATCTTGCAACGATTCCTAGCAATCTGTTACAAAAATCTTAAATATCAGGTGTCTACGGTGAAATGACAGTTCTGGGATTATACGAAACTGGGTATGTGATATGTGATTCTTTAATACGAGCTTGTCAGCCTGGCTATTTGTTAGCTATTCATCAGATTAGTGGCATTTTAATTCTTGAAATATCCCTTACATCCTTTTTTTTTGTTCATTATTACTTTCTTCCGTGATATTTAAAGTCATGTGGTACAATTGCGGTGGAACAAGTCAGTACTCACTGTATTTGATGGACATTATGATGTTGGTTTTAGGATAACCGAAGGTAACAGTACATGACAAAGTTGTGCACATTCAAGCTAGAATGTGGAACGAACTCGATTTTCCATATCCTGAAATAGGGTCGACCTATCGACCGGTACTGTCATGGCAGCGTCGACCGCCACGTTTCCCACTTCCCTATGGTCGTCCGCCGGACATGCCACCGCCATTTATGAAACCGGATATAAATATGGTACGCATGGGTATTCCACCTCCATTTCGTGTACCAAGGATACCGCTTGAACTTGTGACTCCACATGCTGGTTAGTTTTTCTACAGTCCAGTAAAATCAATAAAACTGCTGACAGACATGACAGACGTTTTATATCAGTCATTTTGCAGCATAGAAGTCGTTGTGATCCTCATATGTAACTATTAGATTCTTTTCGTTTGATATTTGCTAAAATCTTTCAATTAAACTTTGAAGTTATTGGTCTTAAAGCAAGTATCTAGTCAGAAATCACTGAGTATAGAAAAAGTGTTCAGTGGGATGAACGTAGTTTTATAATGTTTATATTAAAACGAAGAAAATGTGCTAAAACAAAGTGGAAGCATGAATGATTTAATGCAGTGAGTAATATGTTTTTCCAGGTCCAGGAATGCCACCTCCACCACTGCGTCCCGTACGACCTCCCAATGTACCACTCTACCAAGATTTTTCTGCACCCCCGCGCCCTATACCAATAAATATCAGTGTTCAAACCTCAGCACAAAAGTGTAACATAGAATGGAAATCACCAGCGGTCCCGAGTTTGTTCTTTGTATATTCTGGAGCTGAATAAGTAATTAGTTGGCATCAGAAATGTTCAGCCCAGGTAGTAAGAATAGGAGGATTTAGAAAATCAGAAGATAACTAAAGCCGTAAATGTAAGATTATGTTTATGTATTCAGAATGCCAGTTAGTCACAGTACTCCATACATTTTAACTTTTTTATAAGAAGTTATTCAGATTCATTCCTATCAGCAGTTCTAAATCAATTCTAGAAACGCTAAAATATGCATACAAATTGGAAGTTTGGGAAGGGGTTAAGTGCGACACGTATGATTTCCCAGCACACATTGTATCGTACAAATTAAGAACTACACCGGGTACAGTATATAAGGTAAGTAGTAATGTTGAATGTCTTGATTTGAGCCATGTAATATGTTACTGATAGGAAAGAAATTTTTTAGGCAGGATTTTGAATAGCAACACTGTTGCCTTTATTTAGAATTTGGCTAATAAAATTATATCAATAATTAAAATTCCCACTAACAAATTGTTTGCACCAGTGAGTCTCATTGAATAAAGCAATCAATTGAAATGATCATAATTCTTTAATTAGTGTTTTTTATGATTTTTTTCAATAATCATGCTTATCTTTGGGTCTCGCTTTTGAGAAATGTCGATGTTGTATTCATTTTGTTTGTGTACTTGGGGTTCATCACGTGAGGTAAGCAATCAGAGATGTTCACGTAAATTTTTGGGTGTCGAAAAAGTATTCGTGGTTTTAGAAAAATACTGCCTAATTTTCTTTTTGTTTAATTTAAACTGATGTTTACTGCTCCAATGAAATCATTTTTCAGCTTGAGTTATCCGCACGTGATGCAAATAATACTGTTGTTGCTCTTGGAACAACTTGTATGAAAGCGGGTTCGTGGTTATGCTTAAAGTATGAAACATAAACATATGAAAGATGGCGCTAAATTTACTGGGAAAAAAAATGCTTTTGCAGTAAAGCTTTATTTTAGTTTTCTCAGCAGAAGAAATGCAGTCGCTTTACAAGAAGTCGTTAGATTTCGTAGGGACAGTTATGCATTCGTTCCGCTTTCTTTATCGTTGCAAGCCAAAGATTTATTATGACGATATACAGGTATTCAGATTTGTGTATGCACGTTACAGTGTATGCAGTTTTTCTTTTTATTTTTTGCATTACATAGCTTAAAGGGTTTGAGGTGCCCAGAATTACTTACATGGTAGTACTTTTATTATTTTTCAATGAAATTTTGTTTTTACAGTCATAATTGGTATACGCAATAGCAAACGTTAGTAACTCTCGTCAGATAAGTTATTGAGAATTGAATTTTGTAGTAAATTCGCTTTACACGTAATTTTTATTAGTTTCACCGTGGTGGAATAATGGAAAAATACATGAAGGATAATAATGGTCAGGCAGCATCGTCAATCAATGGTGCTATAAGCGGTACGTTTATGTAGTCGTCATTATGAAAATTATAGAAATATGTGTTTTGTTCTAGACTGCTTTACACATTTGGAATGTTACTACAATATATTGCAAAAACACTGTAGTGTCCATACTTGTGTATATCACAAGAAATTGCTCGAGAGTGCGATTGAGTTGTCTTGAGGTTTTTTCGTCACTGTAAAAAGTGTCAGCCAATCTACAACTATAATTATAGGTCTATTTTTTTCCGCTCGACTGTTGCCTGACGGAAGTTTGCCAACCCATTCACCTTTTGGCAATGTTCGAATGTTAGTGCCAGCCATGACGTTACTTGATCCATCTCGTGTAAACATGTACTTTTGCGATTTCTACTGCAACTATATAACACATTATGTTACTGTTGTAATCTGCGAGAAGCATTCAGATGTGAGTTACGTCGATTTTTATATTTTTTGTGGAACACATCAGATATTTAAATAAGATTTCATTTTTATTCCTTTTCATGTTGTTTGCTGTAGCTTTCAGCAGTGTTTTGTAGGAGGTCTACCATTTCAGACTGATATTTTTTGTATGCAACGCTTGATTAAGTTGGCTCCAGATTCCAATCCATTTTTACGGATTGTATTCAGACCTCCAATGTTTGAGCCCGAATTTTGGGTAAATAAAAATGTTTGGGTAGAGATATATTATACAGAAAATGTACCACTCAACTGGGGTCGATTTGATGCAATCACCGCAACTGGTGCAGGCACATCACGTGTAGGAGGTTTACCTCATAATAAGGTTTGTTTCTTTAGGAGTTCTCTTAAAAGATAGAAGTGTCTGTCTAATATTTTTTAGCATCTTACGAAAACATTAACTAAACAGCTATTGATTCAGTTTACACAAAATTAACATGAATCAATTTGTAATTTCATACATGAATTATTTTCAGTTGTTTCCATTAAGTACCATTTTAGCAATGCCAGATGTGCAATTTGTATCCACAGAAAAATAGTTCTGCCGCTAAAATTGCCTCAACGAAGCTTAATTCAACATTTGAATTGCTTCTGTATTTGGAACGGAAAAGATTTGGCAATGAAAACATAAGTGAATCGGCTGATTTAATCGAGACGATCTGTTCCATCATCGACTCTGTGGTTGCACAATGCTCACAGGATACAGAGAATGAAACTAGTAAGCAGGTAAGAAACGGTAATGAATTCTTGTAAATGGGAGCGAATTTTCTGACAGTAACATTATCATGTAGACATGAGCGCAGGATTTTAACGAAAAATAGGTGAACGTGATTGAAAAGAAATTTTATTTAAATCATTTCACTTTTGTCAGTGATCAGTATTTTTGTTAAACCAGGAAAGCGATAGTGAAGGAAGAAGAAAAAGGAGACTAGAATCACCTGAAGAAATCATGCAACGTCTTGATGCGCAAGATTTATGTGAGGAAATGCAAGATGTTAAAAAATGTCTGAAAGCATTCGTTGATAGTATGAGCAGTGGAATATCAAAGATCGAACGTTTGTTGAATGATGCGAGGCAGTTTTCAATACGCTCAACATTCTTGTCGCATAACTGTCTTGTGCGATAGTTTCAATTATATTTTGTTCTAATTTAGTTGTGGATCTCAGGCAGAATAATATTTTAAAGAAGGAACTGAAATGGCGTAATAATGTGACGGGATCTTTTTGCATTGTAATGAATAAGATATGTGTATTCGAACTGTAAATTTTGTTTATAATGGCGCACATTCGATCGAATGGCTTTAGCTGGAATGTTGTGATGAGAAAAGTTTATTATGGTTCACTGTGCTTGAAATTCATGTTCATTTCCATTTATATTAATGTTCATTGTTATTCTGATCTCATCGGCAGCTAACTTTTACTTGCCCTAGTTTTTGAACAACATTGTTCGTGTCATTAGGCGACTGATTCGTTGTGTCACTTTTGCATTTCTTCACTTTCATACTTCATAGGTTCTTGTTTCACATGTGATAAAAGTCCTATTCATGTTTTTCTATATTCATTAGTTTGGTTTAGACTACAGCATTTGAATTAACGACCAGTTGTAATCAAATTGGCAGTGTTAAACAAAAGCGTCTTTGATTTTATCTTGACTGCCTGGACCGTGAATTATCTTTAGTGAATGAAAAAAATTCGGGGAGGTTACGCGTTGTCGATTTTTGAAATGATTACTACTTCTGTCTTTAATACTTAATATGGGTTTCGCAAGGTTAATGTCTGCTTGTTAGTTTTCCACAGTTATTTCTGGCGACTGAACTGGCTTACAAATTGCACTGTTTTCTGCAAAAATAAGTATTAAATTCATCCCATGTTTTCTTTTAGGGCTGGGATTTTCGTGATTGGAGAGGCGGTGTCATTACATATTCTCAGTATTTGATCAGTATGTTTTTAATTTAGGAAGTATATTTCTTATGTGATTGGTCAGTGTAGCTTATGACGGGAAATGAAAATCATTGAAACTTAGCTTTTCTTTTTTTCATTTTACGCAGTGTTTCGTGGCTCAAGAGTGAGGAGTCGAGTTGCGCTCAAAATCAGTTTGTGATAGAATTTATAGGAAGTTACCTTTTTACCAGGACGCTGCGAACAAGCTGAATTAGGGTAAATAATTTTCTGCGCAATAACACTCTTGGGCAGTAAGAAATGAGCTAGTTGGTGGGTGAAAGAGGCTACTCCAATTAATGTGATGTATGGTCGTGATTATTTCTTGTTGCCTGTTTATAATTCAAAATATTAGGAGGAGCCCGTGGGTTATATTCCTTTGCTAGTAGTGGCATTATCTGTTGTTTACTACCCTATTGTCTTTATATTCATTTTATTAACAGATTCAATGTTATTTTTTGTTGCCTGTTTGCAAGTTGCCTTAAACTAAATGCGCGCCATTATTAATGTTTTCGATGAATCACTATGTGATGTTATTTTTTGGCTTGACTCAAGTAAATAATTTTATTTATTCGCATCTTTTAATGTTGAGCAACTGACACCTTCCAGAACATATTGCACTGGCTTCAAACTTTTGCTTTGTGAGTTATCTTCCTGTTGTGAGCGGAATAAGTTGTAAACTAAATTGTGGCTTAGATGTTTCCTTTTTTTTTTTTGTTTTTTATGATGGGCGAACTTTTTCCTTTGCATTCAGCCTTCATTTTGACCCATGTGCACCGATTTATCTCGGTTTGGTAGGCAGTTGCGCGTACAAATTGGCAGAGTTTTGCAGGTAGTGGTTTACTCTGTATGGATTGTACAGGTTTTATGGAATGGGCGGTTGGAAATGGTGCTTACCATTCTGGAATCGATATCAGGGATTGTTCAAATGAAGGTGGGAAGGGATTGTTTGCAACGACAGATTTTCGAGAGAATGAAACAATAATTAGCATACCAGTTGGACTTATCATTACTGCTGGATTTATTGCAGAAATGCCTGATTATTGTGATGTGTTCAAAAGGTTCAGTTTGATTTGATGATTACAGCATCTAATATGTGTTGTAATATCCCTGAAAAAGACCAAGGTAATAGGGCTATCACGAACTCGAACCCATTCTGATCACTTTGATGTTGGTGACGTAGTTTATAAAATCTAGTTGAAGGGATGTTGAAATCCGAAAATGTTGCAGTTCTTATCTAAAATGCAATGGCGTTTGTTGGCAGCACCTCTCTTAAAGTTTTTGTATTAAATGAAGCACCTCCTTAGTCTCTTGCATAATGAAAAGTAACATCTTTTTATTCTAAATATTGTTTTTTTTTTTTTTTTTTTTTTTTTTAGATACTGTTTAAAACCATTCGAAGCATTAGTGTATTTCTTCTTGGTAGAGAAAGAGCAGAACTCAAAGTGGACTCCCTATCTGGAAGTGCTTCCGAAGTCATTCTCAACACCGGCTAGCCTACACCCGAGTTTGAAACCAGAAGATTTTCCATACTGCTTAAGGAAGCAATGGTATGTGCAGAAGAACGAATTAAAGATAATGTATGAAAAGGTACGCTTTCATTATTAAATAATGTATATGATTTTTTCCTTAAGAAAGAAGATCCTTTTTCTTTTTATTTATAATGGATGAAAGATTACAATTTCTTTGAAATCAGATGAGATCGAAGCTCAGACCTAGGCTAGATTCGTTATGAAAGGAACTGCACAAGAACTCATTTCGCATAATTGTTTCTATTCGCAGTTTGTGACGATATTAGCAGATAATACGATCTGGGATCATTTTTTATGGGCTTGGCATATTGTAAATACTAGGTGCATATATCGTAATAACAAACTTCACCCACTGATTGACAACACTGAAGATGATTCACTTGCAATTGTACCCCTTATCGACATGTTGAATCACAGCAACGATAGTCAGGTATATCATCTAATTTGTGAGTTGCTGTTATTGCTGTTAAAAAAAATGTGATCCTATTCCTTTAATTGTTTTAAATTAATCTCATGATTGGTTCTAATTAAAGTCCTAAATTCCTTTCAAAACAGTTTGGAAGAACAGATTTTCCAAAGTGTTACATTCTGTTGTTTAGTGCTGCGCGATTTGGGATAGCAAATTCAATCTGTATAAAGTGATTGTTACTCGACCCATCCGTAAAGGAGAACAGATATTCATCTGTTATGGTAGTCATACAAATGGATCACTGTGGATTGAATATGGTTTTTATCTGAAAGATAATATCTGCGACAAAGTTGAAATCTCGCTTGGTAGTTTAATTTTGAACATTACTGATAGCGGTGGTATTCCAATTGTCCTTTGCCATCTTATTAAGATAATAAATTTTGACATATGAAATCTTCGCTACGAATACTTTCAGCTATGGTAAACTAAAAATTAAATATTTGATTACAGGCACAGAAAATGTCTTTTTTAAGGGACTCAACAAGTAAAAAAAGAGATTAGAATGCATGTTATTGTTCAAATTACTAGTTTAGTACAGTATATTTTTAGAAGACTTCATGCGATTTGCGAGTGCTGCTGGAATCAGTTTTTCAGACTTACATAGAAAAATAATTTTCCAAGCAAATTTCCCATGGTAATCTACCGGTGTTTTATTTACCTTTTCTTTGTTTGTTGAGCCTTAAGATTCCATACACAGCGTGTAATCTTTCATATTGTTTCATCTGTCATCTAATGAATAATATACTCTATCTGGAGTTACTTCAATTGAAATAACTTTAGAAAACGATATAGATCCTAAACCAGTTTACATTTTTATACCTTCTGAATTTCAAAAACGCCATTCAAAAAAAGGACTTCTCAAACAGCGGATAGAATATTCAAGTGCTGATACTAAATCAGCAGAACTTGAAATAACATATCGCCATATTCAGGCGCGCATCAATTACCAGATTTTAATATAATTTTCAGTTCTATATATGCCAGTGATACGAAGCCAAATTTTGGATTCAAGGCAAACTTAGCACTGCTGAAAATGAGTTGCTCGAAACTGTGAGTTCCTATATAATTTTTAACTTTATTGCTGTTCAGTTCAGTGAATCATGATCTCTGGCCGTTCATGTTTGGATCCTTACTTAAAGATTGGCCGTCAATCTCCTTAGATTCAAGTTTTTAAGTTGTTTTTCTTAAACATGAGATTTAAAACCCACCCGGATTCCCTGATTTAAAAAATTCTTAATGACGAGCGTAAAGACTATTTTGACATATTTGCGGCAAAGCAATCTTTAAAAAGTTTTCATTTATTTCAAATGAAGAAAGCACTGGGCGAATGTCATCTATGAGGAAACGGAGACTATAACAGAGGATGAAGTTTTACTGATTATGCGATTACTGTGCGATGAAATGATCAAAGATAGCAAGGAATCATCTCAAGAAACACGGTGGTTATGGAATCAGCAGATTGCACTTCTCCATACCTTACTCAATACTGATTAGTTATATGACTCATCTGTTCGCCGGAGATTCACTCTTATTTTAACTTCATAAAATGGTAAGGGTTTTGTGGAGAAATCTTTTAAGAAGCAAAAACAAGACTAAAAGTTACCTTCAAGCCACCTCCAAAACTTAATAATGAAGTTACAATTGTTTTTTTTTTCGTCATAAATCAGGACCATCCAACATCGCCAATCTTTGCTACAGTGGCACAACCAAATCAACTCTGGGTCATAAGAGATGAAAAAGAGAATGGAATAACTTACATTAAATTCTCTTGTCAACATTTATTGATAGCTCGCGTCAACAATATAAGAACAGAAACTGTTAACACATAATAAGCACGAGGAATCATAACTATGAAAGTCGGAAACTTGTATTGTTAACTAAACAAAAATACACTGAATAATGTAAAGCTACAATTAGCCTACGAAAATATAAACATTTAAAAAACTTCGACTTTTGAATTCAAGAGTATCTAACAACCTATAAATTTCTTACGTTCGGAAATACAACCCAAGAAGTCATCCTTTTTATGTTTAAGGAAAACAATAGCTTAAAAACTTAAACAAAAAAGCTTACATACTTATTAGCTCACTACCGTAACAACATTGTTCTTTCGCAAACTTGACAAAAACACATAAGAGGAGACGTGCTGAAACACTGCTAGTAGTTTCGGTGGAATAATGAGTAACTAAGGCGACAAATTACGATAAAAATTAAACTGCAAATTACAATTATGTTTAGCAAAGTTACAAACGGGCTAACAACCGAAACTAAGAGAAGAATAGGGATCGAGCCAGTCTGCCCAATTCTTTTAATAACTGATTTAAAACTACTATAAATAATTTTTTTTTATATTATAAAATAAGTGATTCGTTTATATAATTCTTTACTGTAAATAGGCAAATCGTCATTTTCTTACCCCTTGCATTGACGATTGGCAATAATGTGGAGACAACATCACGCAAATCTCATATCACCAAGCAGAAAGCATAGCATTCGATCAATTACAAAACAAGCCATCAAATCCACCGTTATGCAACTTAATAAGGCTTTTCGATACTGAAATACCATTTCGTAATTGACAATATAAAATGATGTTAACAACTTGGTAGAGCTCAGACATTTACAATAATAACTTTCTCTGCTGACTACTCCTGAAAGATATCAAAATAACAGCGCATATAAAATGAAACTCCCGTGCACTGAAACATAAAACGAACTGGTTAAATATAATAGCTCACCAACGAGTAAAAAATCAAGATCCGACCTTATTGTCAAGATAAAAGTGGTCACTTACTTTAACTGGCAGTTCAACAAGTTCAAACTTTTCTGTCAGTTCTGGAGATATACCAGATGCCAGTGCGAATACAGCAGATCCAGAAAACAACAAACTGTATAACATGGGTTTGTTTTCCAAAAGACTTTCCATAAACGGATGACCCTGTAAACGAACGACAATTAAAAGAATAATGTCGAGTTTTTTACTGCAAAATGAAACCATCGATATCTAGGGAATTTTGTTTGCTATCAATAGCGCCTATCACTAACGTATTGTACACCTGAAAAGATGTTTTCAACAGCCAAAATCTAAACAAACCCGATAGTTCACAGCAAATGTGGCCACCTGCAATGCCAATGCCATGAGATACACCGCTGAATTAAGTAAATTTGGCTTGAACTCTGCTTCCAAATTGACCTTCTCACTAGAACAAGTATATCAGCATGATTGAGATAACTTGTTACCAAGGCATACAGTAAAATGGAGCAACAAAAAAAGCTTATATTCAAAATCACTCACCAAGGAGCTGTTGCCTGAGCTTCTCGTACAACGTACATTAAACAACCGAAATGAACGACGAATTGAAGAGAAACCGTAAGAAGGGTATATGCATTAAATATATTTGGTATAGGTCTCTGCTTAGCGAGTGTTTTGAGTGGCTGTAATGAAAAGGAACAAAAATGAGAGTGGAAGTAGAACAGTTAAATAGAATGAACTTCGTGGAACAAAACTTGTAGAATTTGCTGTAAAATGGAATGACACCTTCGATCTCGAGATGAACAAGAAACATCCAGCAAGAAGTAGACCTTGAACGGTAGCCTGTGTGTCAGAAAATTTGATTCCATCCAAGTAAAGTACACTCTGACTATACGCAAGCACTAAAGCGTTCAAAGCAAGAATTTTGAACATTTGCAACGTCGTGACTAAAGTACATCGTCCTTGTTTGATGACATGGCATACTGCAATCAAACAAAAAAACTTTAAAGTTGGCTATCTATTCTGCAAGTTCAAAGAAAGGAAACGTACTCACTCGACTGTATGGATGTATATTTTGAAGTAAACGGAGCTGCTATAGAAGCATCACCAAGTCGCACAACTTGAACCTTTTCTTCATCTTTCAAGTCCTTCATCATCTGCTCAAACCGTCTAGCGGTAGTATTCGACACAGGATTATACCTGACATAAACACAAAACCACTTTATAATGACTCAACAAAAGTACTTGCGTAAGAAATAAAATGATGTGTTTTCATAACTTCGCGTCAAACATATCACGTTAACTGAAACTATTTACCTAATTTGTCTCGCACCAGTCGGTGCGTCCGTCCTCCGTGTTGAGTGTTGCACTAGGGATTTTTTTAAATTGGTTAGTGAGCTGTATGAATTAGCACTCGAAACAGGCTGATATAGATCGTCTGAGGAAGGGTTTGTTTTATTTCCTTCTTCTTTCCTTCGCCTTCTTTCACCAGCTTTTGAAGCATCATATGGATGAGAAAGTAATGCAACACCTGAATGAAAAGAGTTTATACAAAAAAAAAAAAGTACAAAAGGTAAAGATCCGACACGACGTCTAACATTTGTAAATGAAAAAAATTTTGTTAGGAAAATATCGAGAAGTTGGAGAACGCACGGTCAGAACTGCGTTATCTTTAATTATAAACAATAATAAAAAACAATAAAGTCTAACCGACATCGGCATGTTTCAATGCACCAACATCGTTTGTGCCGTCTCCACACATGAGCGTAATATAACCAAGTCCCTTAAGCTCATTTATAACCCGCTCCTGAATTTATACGAAGATACTTAAGTGGTACAGAAATAAGAATTCTCCCAAGCTTTCTAGTTCTTCGAAAGCAGATTTGTATCCATGTCATTATGAAACTTGAACTATATTAGAACAATTTCCGCAAAACACTCGATTAAATAGTACAAGCAATAGTTCAACTATAACTCATCGAGAAACCTAAAACATTGAAATCCACAGAATGCCGCAGAGAGTGAATATATTGGAAAAAAAAGTTCTTGTTACCTTTTGCTTGGGTGCCATTCTGGCAAATATTTTTATATAAGAGATAATGTATCGCAGAAACTGGGTATGTTTGCTGAGAAGGTACATAAATGCCTGAAACATGGTGTTCACATATTTTGAAAGTTGAACAGATGTATCCAGTTATACAAATCGAATACGACTAAATTTTTAACACTAAGCACGAAATATGATTAAGTTTTTAACACTCCGACCAAACAAATCCGAAAACAGCAAATTTGTAATGAGACTACGTCACCTAATCCAGATATTTCTAAACTGAATTTTAATTGGAAATGAACATGTAGTGCACTACATCCAGTATTCAACGAACTTAGTCTGTTATGGGAAAATAGTCCAACCAGTATTTGAAAAAGTGATAATAAAACAACACACCTGACCAGTGACACAAAGTTCATGTTCATTCATAAAAGTCATAAGTTCAACATTTGCACTTGGTAGCAAATTAAACTCGCTATCATCATTTACTGATTTCCATACCCATCTATTATCGCCTATAAAACTGTGTTCCTTATACAACGAAAAAACAGAATGATTTCTGAATGACCATTACAAGGTCAAATATACCTCGAAAATTTAGCGTTTTAAGATAAAAATTCCTACAATGAAGGTTTTTATTGCTAATGTTTTAATCTACTTTACATCACTGATGTTCGGCATACTAAGCAGAACTTAATTAGGCGACACCCTTTTAAATATTGGTTTAAACGAAATGATACGAATACAAACTATCAGCTGAATAGATAAGCCAAACAGACAAATTTAAAGCAGTTGTATTTACTCCCATATTCAGTTCCTTATACCAAAGAACAAGTTAACAAAATTCTATTGCAGCAGAAAAAATTGTTAAATGAATGTTACGACCATGAGGTTCATCCAGAATGAGAATAGGTGTTGATTTCTTAGTAAATCGAAGAATTTTAGCAATATGACAAGCAGTGAGAGGATTATCGCCAGTAATCATCACTACTTTGTGAGAAGATTCTGCAATTTCCTTCACCACTGCTTTGGTATCCGGTTTTAAGGGGCACGATATAACAACGAAACCAGCAAATAATAGATTTTGTTCAAAATCTTCTCGCTTTCGATCCCGTATCTAGAAAAAGCAACATTATGTCGGTCCCACGTATATGAACGAAGAAAATAGATTTTCTACTTGAATATATTTCAGACGGTTAAAATTGATAGATACAAGCTTTAATCTAAAGCATAATGATCTTTTGCAAACAAAATTAGTTCAGCAATTCAAAACTATACATATGCAATTTGAAATCATATATGTATACCTCTTGATAGGTTAATGACCCAAGTTTTCGAATGCCCAAAGCAAGAACTCGTGCACCTTGTCGTGCCAAGTGTTGGTATGCCTGGATATAGTTTTCAGGAACTGTTTCGTACTATAAAAAAATAACAAGTGTTTATTCCCCAGGAATAAGGAGAACGAAACAAGAAACATGTAACAGATATATCTCGGGAGAACAAAAATTTTCAAATATTTTTGTGCAAAAACAAACCATACTCTCCAGTGTTTCTGGAGCTCCTTTCACTGTTACAATATGTTTAGTTTCATTCGTCCCAGCTGCTACATAACCGGCAATCACTGTCATTCTTTTGAAGAACGAGGAGAAATGATAACGATGAAAAATTTTAAGTGGCTGTATTTTCGATTTTTTTGGAATCACTGTATCATCTGAAATATGAAACTATGATTTAGTAATTCGTAAAGGAATAATTTAGACACATTAATTACAGTACTTTAAATATGAAATTACTTTTTGTTAAATTCCATTCGGCCCAACTGAGACAAGCTTTTTCTAATGGATCACCCACTAAGTCCTCATCAAATCGTATCAAACTATGACACGTCACTAGCACTTGTAGTGATTCTGGTGGGGCTTCAGTAGGTAAACGATGAATGCGACATTCATTGCCCGAAAACACACAATTCGCAGAAACCACTCCTGCAAAAAGTTACACTCATCAAAGTTTATGCATAAAAGGATTAAAAAGCTGCTGAATAACGATCGAAATAAATATAAATCTAAATATTACAAATAATTACCCTCTACAACTAAGTTATCTGTTGTTAGTGTTCCTGTTTTATCGAAGCAACATATATCAATTTTACCAGCAAATGGTATACGAAATGGCTCTGTACAAAACACGCCTAAAAAAAGCTAAATTGGAAACAAATTCAATAAATTAATGCAAAGAAACCATCAGGTCATCAGGCTGTACTCTTATTAAATTTAAAAAAAAAATTACACAATCCTTGATACACAAATGGCTCATGCTCAACAGCACAATTCTAGACTATGTCATACGAAAAATGAATTCTACCAAGCTCCTGTAGCGCCATCAGTGAATTGTTTACAGCCAATGATAATTCTATAGGTAACTCAGGAGGAATTACGCTAGTGAGAATCAAGGAGCATTCCAAAAACAACTTGTATTTACTACGCGACTCATCTTCACTTCCTAAAAACAGGAGATTAATTTAAAATCATTACAGCATAAAACAAGTTAAAGAAGTGAACGATAATGAACTATACGAAACTAAATTAAATAGATTTCAGTACCTTTGATCCATAAATAAGAAGCTGCAGCAATAGCGAAAATTAGCAGAAATAATATAAATGCAAAAGTTTCGATGTTATTTGCGGTCACTCGTTTCACGCCAAACATAATTGTACGTAACAACTTCCCTTGACTAGTATTAAATCCTGTTCGTAAGACGTAGCAAATACAACCACCATCCGGTGCTTTCATACCGGCTTCATTTTTTGCTTAAATAATGAAAACATATCTTAATAAACCGCATAACAAATATACATTTAGAAAGCCAATGAAACAAATAAGAAACTGTCAACGATATCCTTGCTCCGACTATTCCTTACTGAAAGGTTACTGGAGCTTACTCCACATTTTACAAACATCTCATAGAGAAATTACCACTCTCATAAAAGTTGTAACAATTAAGTCAAATTTTGAAGAATATCCAACTTTATACGGCTATCACAGCTCACCAGGTGAAGTGTGCTGAACAACTTTTGTACCACCGAAAATGACATGTAAACGACTATCTGTTTCTATGTCAAAATAACGCGATTTCTCAACATCTTCTATCGGTTCCTGTAATTATGCGTCCTTAAAAACCAACATGATAGTTTGAAAAATTCTGAAAGTTACGGCGACCTTCACTGAATAAATCTCAAAATAGAATTGTATAGAGATGAACCAAAGACCTGACCTTCATCTGAGGCACGCTTTCGCCGGTAAGCATGGATTCATCAACGATGCAAGGACCCCTCAACAGTAATAAGTCGCATGGAACCGCTTTTTCATCTGGCGAGCGGCCTAGAAATATGCTGTTCAGCATTTTAATTTCTAAACGTAACAGAAATTTGCTGATAAAACAATAATAAAGTGACTGGTAGTAGTATAGCTTTTTTTTCAGCAACTATGCGAACACAACTATGCCAAAACATACTTATAGAAACGACATCGCCAGGTAACAATTCATCACTTTTAATACGGTTCCAGCGCTTATTCCTGTACACATTAATGAGATACGGCTTATTACCCATATTTCGAATTTCAGACATATTTTTCAGCTGCTGCTTAACAAGTGTCGCTTCGAAAGTCACAAGCATTATTAAGGTAAATAACGAATAGTACCACATATCTTCCAAACACCACAAGCCAACACAAAAAACCTGCAACTCGAAAACCAACGATGAAATACGACTGCTTTAAGAAATTTGTTTTATTCAGAGTTAGCTGCAACCTATTTATTATACAAAGTAGTAATAAATAAATAATCAAACAAGAGAGAAAATAGTAAGGAACAGCACCAGACCAAATTTGATGCTATTATATCAAATTCTCAAAAATAGCAAAATACAAATTACACCGGAAGAATAAATTCCAGTCACTTCACTAAGAAATGTGTAAGATCATAATATTAACTTTTCAATGAAACCAATACTTTTATCATCGATACTTACATCCCATATTTGGTTTTGGACCCTTTATTTTCAGCTTAACAGATCTAGAAACAAGAAAGTCAAATCAACCTACAGTGTATCTAATAATACCTGAAAAACAAAAAATGGTGCCGTCGCTCGTTCCTTGAAGAGTTCCATGAACTGAGGAATAACCATTTCCATCCTTAAAATTAAAACATATATATAACACAGACTAACAAAATAGCTCCCAAAAACTCTACAGATATTATAAAAAAATAACAAAGAATCCACCTATTATCTCCCAAATCTTGTTTCCTTTCCAAAATTGCTTCTTCTGTTTCAAGTCCTCGTGACTCATGAAAGTAGGACATTGGCTTATTTGTATCGAGTTCCAAGACCAGAAATGTCTTCCTTTCCAAAACGAATGTATAATGCACTTTTTGAAATTCGAACCACAATTTTACTTTCCCATTTATCAACTAAAAAGAAATTCGATCAAATTTTACATGTAAACAAAAGTTTCCTTTTTAAAGAATGTGGGTTCTGCACTTCAATGTGCTTCATTAGATTGAAATTTCCCCTCCCAAATTTATATGGTGTAAGAGTTAGAAGAAATATGCCTCATGATTATTTATAATGAGACTGTATTATGCTTAGCTCTATTTACAACAACACTAAAAAACTATGTATTTATTATTCTTAACCAGACTCAATAAAAGTTGGGACTCATTATCAAAAGGTGGTTGTCATTATTTGTTGCTTAAGCACAAATTTTCGACCTTCAGATTAAGAAACTAGCGCATATCTAAATCCCACTTTTAGATTATTCGATTTTGATTACATAATTCTAATAATGATTAAAGTCCTGTTTTAAGTCACTCAATACGTTACAGTACAACAATCTTCAAACAGCAGAGAATAAAAATGAAGTTCATATAAGAGAGTGCAAATCAAAACACTGTACTGCATAGCACCGTAATATTAGTACTTCCCATTTGCCACTACGATATAACCGAAATTCCTTCCAGTAGATATTAAGCTGACTGCACAATTCAACTTTCATAAACAGAACAACTGAGAACATACTTTAGTCCTGCGTAATGGAACCACTTCTGTCCATCCATTATTTGGTGTTGGAACTACTTTTACAACTGTAGCTCTTTCAACATTCGATTCCTGAAAAACTGACATCATTTCTAAATTCGCTAGCTGACAAAAATGAAGCTTATTTTCTTAAGGAGTATAATAAAGAAAGCAGGTATGTTGATAAAACAAACATATTACATATGAACAAGTCAGCAAGCAATGAACATTGACAAACCAATTGCAGAACAGTACAGTCAAAATCTGAAACAAGAAAGATTGATCAAACTTTCATAAAACTGATTCAAGTTTTTAAACTATATGAAAACAATACTAACTTGTTGCTATATTTTAAGCATGAAATAAAAGACCAAAACAAATCAATCAAATATACCTGTAAAATGCCGATAGAAGCCATGATAATGCATCCTAACTCCCAATACTCGTTCATTCCATACACACTAAACCATAAATAAGCCCATCCTCCATACAAGAAAAGAAATGGCCCAGCATATGCGTGTGCAATTATTGGCTTCACTGTGTATAGGACATAAGAATCAATAAGCTGGTCAACGGGCATTTTTCACTATACAACTGACTGATCCAGTTCAATCTGAAAGGAGAGGAAATTTCGAATATCCACCTCCAGCCACAATCACAGTTAGTCCGAAAACACTGGAACAACCAGACTAATTCTTTATTTCACTTTATTATGGATAAAAAACAAGCGGCTTGGCTGAGCCTGACCTTACAAAAACTTGATGTTTCTTTAAAGGTCTTTGGAAGCAGCATATAGAGCATCGTCTGAGAACGCTTATATATTTTGAGATCGCAAGCTTAATTCATTCAAGAATAGAACATTAAGCAACGCGATCACAAGAAATCATCTACAATCAGGAAGGAAATCATTCCATCAGTACCTGAAACTCTTCAGACGGCTGCAAAAATCAACCATAATAAAACACCACCTTCATTATTACCTTGTCCTCACATGCACCAGTCCGCCTGCATTATTTGCGAGTGGTAACGCTGTGCAATATTACCCATTATGCCGTATATTTGGATTTCCCTAATTCCAGCAGCCCTAATTATTTAGTAGATTTCAGGCGGGGAAGTTTATATTAGAACTGAAGTACTTGTCTTCAGTTTGCGCGGGTGACAAAAATTATAAGATAACAGAAAAAATGAACTCCGATGTGAGCTAAGTCCCGTACAAATAAGAGGTATGCCTTAAAACTTATTAAACACCCCAGCAATACAGTCTACACTTGTCAAACGCTAACCTTCAAATTGTAAATGCATAGAAGAAATTGAAGTGAAAATATTAGTGGTATAAGCGCTACAAAGTTTCAAATTAATCTGGTGTGACATTAAAATGTGCAAAGATAGACGATAAGTCATGTTGCGTATTTGGCGAAGTGAATAAAAGTGATAGGATTGGAGGAATATACGGCTAAAATTTAAACTGCAAATATAGATCGTCGTCTGATGAAATCTTCTATATTTTTAAACCCCAAGACAAGATAGGAACTAGTAATTCAGTTCGATTTTTTAACATTAATTTGATGCAAAGTCTTGTTTCGGCATCGTGACTGTAACCACCTCCGAATTCGCATTTAAGGTAAGAATTTGACAATCAAATATATTTTTAACCATTGAAATCCTAAGTAGCAAATATGTTTCAAAATATTTTTTTGACGACTTGTATTATCTCTTCAGATTTACCCACGGTAACATCATTGTGAAGATAATCATCTCAAAAAAAAAAAAAAGAAATCCATGTAAAAAAGACCGTCACAAATGTTGCCAGTCTGCCAAAATACTTTAATTGATAATTTAATGAAAAAACTGTTTCGAAATTGTGTAGCAATGTGTAGTCTCAATCTCTTTTTTATTAAAATTACTTTAGCATGTTCCTGAAACTCTCGAGAACTTCTTAATTCCCTCTTTTTTGTTTGCAGACTTCACTAATTAGTTAATAATGAAATAAGTCCTGAAATATGAACTCCAATGGACGTTAGTTGAAGTAAGAAATCCGGGTTTTTGAAGCTTCAAGAGTTACTTCCTCTGCATGTAATTGGTGTTCAGAAAAAAAAGCCCTGTCTTTGCTGTCTGGTAAGTACCCTGAAACACCAAATCCAGAAATGAAGGAAGTACTGAAAGCTCAACAAAATTTAAAAATAATGTGGAGTGGGATGCGTCCTCTTACTATCCTCTCACTTGCAAATGCGCTGACCACATCTTTGGTGTAATAACTGAGTGCGTCGCCACGATTTCTGGCACCTAGGGAATTCAGAGGGTGAAATCAATGATTCTTCCGTGTTGCACACTGACCCGGAATTGTACAATGCATACAGAGAAATAACAGTCTGAAGAGACCGGACGGACGTTACGTTCCTGCTTGGGATGTGAACCGTTACTGCTAGAAGATGACCCAATAGTTAAGCGAACAAAGTTTATCTTACAGAGACGCTCATGAATCGTATTTGATAAAGACCTTGCGATCACTGTTGCTTTTGTGATAAGCAAAGCAGCAAGGTGAGTCGGTGCGTCGCGTTGTGCGTATAAACAGCCACTGCAAATGGCACACACATGCATTTCGCTGCCGTTGTCGGTAGGAACTGGCTGAGAGCACTGATAACGCTAGCAAGGCACACTCCTCGGCTTTTCCTTATCTATTTACTTACACACTCCTATGTATGTGTGTTCCTACACGTGTATCTATCTATGTGTATATGTATTGTGTATGCACATATGTGAATGAGTATCGATTGCTTCGGCGTCGATGATGTAGCCAATGGGTGGGTGCGGACCGCAGCAGGCAGGTGGACCGTGTCGCGTATACTATAGAAGGATAACTTACAAATTCCTTTATTTGTGCAGAGGGAGCGAGAGTGCTTTCCGGAAATCTAAATTGTATATAGCAAGTTAGGTTGCTTATACTGAAGTCTATTAGTCTCGTGGAATATTATCCGATTTCTTGATTAAGACGGTCACTTTCTGGCAATTTAGATATTGTAATTGATGTCATTACTGTTTTCTTGTTACTAGTACTTATCGTTGTTGATTTTTTGCTGGTACCAATTATTCATTACTATTGGCTATTAAAATCTTTATTCCCACTAATCATCATTATATTACTATTACTGTTTACTACTCATTAGCTACTATTATTATTAATTATTTATTATTATTGTTATAAAATTAAATTATTATTAGGTACGTGCTGAAGATCTGAAGATCAAATTAATTTTATTTTCGATTGCGGCTTCTGCCGTAAACAAAATCTGAAGATTTACAGAGAAAATGGAAAGATCTATGGAGATTGCATTTAATCACCACGTACAGCATTACTCCGTACTCTTTCCATTTCACATTGATAATAATTTGTCATCATGTCATCATTGGCCTTACAGTTTCTTCAGTTTTCTCAACTAAGTTGCAGTACAGCATTTGCTAATTCGTTTGTCTTTTTCTGTGGTATCTGAAAATTAAGGACAAGGCGAATGGACGCAAAAGCTTAGTTTAGAGTTTGTTCTATATCAATTAAGGATCGAAGGTGATTAGAGACAGACTTTTGATATAGAACAGTTTTTTTTTTTTTTTTATTTAACTGATGAAATCGTAAGAGTTTCATATAATTATTATAAGATTACTAGAGAAGTCGAATTTTACAAACTAATTTTTTTTCCCTTCTGAGAATGGAAATTTTGCTCGCAAATTTAAGCAGTGCACTCAAATCTGCAAGCTTGCATTTATTTACTCCGGGATGTTGACAAATTTATACTTACGATTTAGAGTCATTAGCAGCTTATCTTTCTTGATTTTCTGTGAGAAATTTGTTGTTTTATAAATATTATATCCATAAAACATTAGGCTAACAGTTCAGTTCATCGCTGTCTATCTTATCTCATATATACTGTGAATGATGTAATTTTTTGTAGTTGAATCATACTTATTCTTTAAGTATAATTTTGAAATAGGATTACTTTAGAGAATCTTTTTCTCATTTTTTATAGTTTCCAATTATTCATTAGAACATGTGAAAACTCGCTTATAAAACAAAAGGAGTAATGTGCATTATAGGCCGATACTGTTCGTCTTCTCCTGGCTTTTTTTATAAGCTGCAGGTTACGTCTATTAGTATTTAATGGAGGGATGCTGAAATTCAGCTGCTGCTAGTATCCAGTGCTAACAAATTTCATAAGCTATATGTAAAAATCAAGACTATATAATATTAGACTATATTATTGTCAGAGTGAGGTGAAGTTATAGACAGTCTCTATAAAGGCGATAAGTAAGACCAAGATTAGTTAGGATCCAGCTAACTTCGTGGAGTTAAGATGGTAAAATTTCAGTCAAATTCAATAATGCAGAACATATTTTGTTAATAAGTGAGTGATTGAAAGAGAAGCTCTGAGTTATCTTTGTGTACTGTTTTGATGTTTGTGACATTATTATGAATTATGGGAAACTTTGTGTAGAGTTGTAAAAGCAGTCGTATGGTATCATTGCCTTTTGTATTGTCTACAAGGTCATTTGAATGCGACTGGTGTATAATTTGACATAATTCTCTCTGTTAGCACGTAATGCGATTTGTATGGCAAAAATTTTCTTCATACTGCTGAATGGATTAGGTACATTTCTAATTTATGCGCACGCTCCAGTTTATTTAATCGAAAATTTGAACTTCAAACTTCTCCAAGCTTGAAACACCTTGTACCACCAAAAACTTCCGATGTGGAGGCCATGTGTAATTGTTTAGTATCAGCCACAATATCGCTATTTTGTTTTGGAATGTAAAAATTTCCTTAAATCACAGACAAGCGTGAGCAAAACTTCTTTTATGCGGTGATTCATTGTCACTTTTGTTTATCTTATGTTTTCATTTTGCAGAAAGAAGAGATCGATTCAACAATGATTATTTAAATAAATAAAATGGAGCAAGGTGAAGTGTTTATTGTGGATGAACAGGTTCCTTCTTTAAAAGTTTCATGAGCTTCAGATGTGTTTAAGCCTACGGGGGAGGAAAAGGTCGGAGGAAGGAAATAACATCTAATTTGAAATATTTTCTTCTTGGAATTGTTCCTTAGCAGTGTTAATGGATTGCCTTCCCCACTATAACTATATAGATGGTTTAGGACTTCTATAGTCCTCAGTTTTTCCAAGGACAGCAGCACGTTTCTATTTCAGGAAGGAGAACTAGATCCGAATGACGCATGGTTGATGCGCGCTGCAGGCGGTGAGGAGGAAATTGATGCAAATGAACTTCCGATGGGAGCAGTTGCTGCTGCCCAAGATGATGACCAGTTATCCTTTGAGGTAGTTATACTTACAGCAAGCTAAAACTTTCCCCCATCTAGGAGAGCATATTTACCATTGGCAAGATATGTTCTAAATTACTGGTATCAGAAATAGCGCAGGATCGGACCGTTCGATTACAGCATAAATAGCTTTTGTAATTCGCTTATTGATTAGGCTATTTAGTTGTCTGTCTGATCTTGTTCAAATTATTCAATCAGTGTCACTCCTTCATCATTACCAAATCCAGATCGAATTTAGAAGAATAAGTATTAGAAG